TTTGAAGACTTGGATTGTTACTTAACTTTTCTTCAGTCTGAATTACAATTAATTTCTTGAAATATGTTTTTAAAAAGTAGCTTTTAGTCAACAAACCGACATTTTTTTTAGATTGAAGTTTCTCCCTGATCCAGTGCAAATACCCTTTGTTTTAAAAAAAAAAGAAGAAGAAGAAGGTTGAATTAAGTTTTTGTGTGCGTGCTTGTAGATTGGCTTGCTCCGTCTCTAGTCAGATGGCAGGATTGGAGGGAAACTAAAAGCTAACTGGAATCACTTGATTGGAACACTGCATCCTCTGTAAACATCAGGCCTGGTCTAACGGTCGAACGTCACTAATACAAAGCACGTACAGTCCACCCAGATTTCCTCATGGTATAAGTAGCCACATTTTAATTGGAGTTAAGTGAGGTTGACATGTATTTCCAGTGTATGTAGAAATACATGTAGATTTAAGACTTCTTCAGTGCACATGGCTGCTGCCTTAATGCCCAGACAGTCTTACTACTGTAGCCGGAGTTCTGAAGCTGGAATATGCAACACATTTTTGACAGTATTAGACAAAAGAAATTCATAATAACCTTTAAGCATGTTGTAATTGGAGTGATCTGAGAGTGAAGTGGACTCCTGGACTCTCAGGATTTAGAAAATATAGCTTGGAATGGGAGACTTCACCAATTGCAGGTGTTTCCTCAGATCGCATCATAGCTGTGTAGACAGAGTCTGTGCAGTGGTGCGTGGGTTAAGCAGAGGACTTTAACTTGGGAGTGTGAGGTGTTTCAGTGGATTTAGGGCACTGTGGCAATGGGGCTATTCCTTCTTAAATAAATTATGTAATTATTTTTCCCCTGCAAAGAAGTTATTTGCCAAGTACTTTGTGACTGAACAAATAAAGGATCAAACTAATTAGCTCCACCATCCTGGACAGTAGCTGGAGTGGCCCTCCAGATGAGGACAATGACTATCGTTGCCATTTGCAGTGCAGTATGGTGGAGTGCAGTTTGGGACAAGACACTGAAGCAGCTGAATGATAGAGAAGACCACCAGGGCACTGACTTGCTGGGACTGAACTTTTAAAAACTTTAAAAAGAAGTGAAATTTAAAAATGCTAAAATTAGTTGCCAAATAATCCTGGGTGACTCGCCCATGTAGAGTCCGTGCGAACAACACCGGTGTTGAAGACTATAATACTCTGCATACTCATGTGCTCTGAGTTAAAGACCTACAAAGCAGGATCTCCTTTGGTATGCCTAAATGATGACTGTGATGAACAAGCATGCGTGCAAACACATCCTGAGGCACATAGCCCTCGTCTGAGTGCAATGCAGCCTAAACAGGACGAAGCATCTAGGGAGTTTCCATGCACTTAAAGGTAGCATGCCTTTAGCTTAGTGTTTGTTTTTGTTAGATGCATTGCTCTCTATAGCAGGCAGGGTGATCGGGCTTGATTTTACTCTATACAATGAGGAATTTCCTGAATAAGTACACACTGCACACAAAACATTTCACCCAAGTTAAACAGACCCAGTCCTCCCACTAGTGAAATCTTACCAGAATCCAACTGCAGCTGTGTCAATTCTCATAACTAACTTGCATGCAGTTGGGTCACTGACCAAACGTGCAAAGTTGGTGCAAAAATATAAATGCAAAGCATAAAACCCACAAAAGGGAAAAACTAAACAAACCATGACAGAGAGGAACCTCGCCTTCAGGTTTTAGGTGAAGGGGGAGGCAAGAGGTTTTATTTTTTATTTTTTATTTTTTTAAGGCTGATCCAAAGTCAATTAAACCTAAACACATCCATGTGTTTGTTTCATAACTGATGAAGTCCAGCATGTGTAGCTTACCTTCTGTTCCTGTTTCAGTTACCTTCTATTTTGTGTTTGTGACATCGTGCCTCCAATAAAAACTGGCCCGTCTGCTGAACGAGACGTCCTGATCAAACAAATATTTAACCGTCTGCGTTTCTAGGGCTTGGCTACTGTTTCTAGTTTGAATGTTTTTCTGTAGGCACAAGTGAAACTTGAAAGTGGGCTGTATTGACTGATATGCTGCATATTACTATAAGTGTTCTGACACCCCGCACTGCCACACTGCCCTCTGCTGACGCCTGTGGTCTGCCCCCTTCACTCCCTGCTGCTATGCAGTAAAACATCCTCCTGTTCACAGCTTCGCTCTCTTCCTTGTACAAACAGCTCTTGTCGGAGCCTCATTAAAACACTCTGGTTGCAAAGTCGTAAAAGAAAAGCATCACACTGGTCTCGTTGTCACCAGTGTGTCATCTCGCTCCAGAAATAGTTACCGTCACGTACATATTTGCAGTCCTGCAAATCCCACTGAAGTGACTGAACAGACTGCCACGCTGCGCTGAAGAGACAACAGTGTGGGTACACAACTTGTAATTCCCGATGACCCATTGACCAGTATGACACTGCTTGTTTTCCAGTGTTTGATTTGAAAATAGATCAGTCATGGTGGAAGCGTCAAAGACATCAGACCCGGGTCTCATTGAAGGAGCTGACATTTATTAGCCGTTCTGAAATTAGATGCATTCAAGAGCAGATTTTATTGTTGTTCTTGTTCTTGTTTTTATTTACAACATTTTATTTAGTTATTCACCCTGATGTGGTTGCAGTGACAGATGGGGTAATATTGCACGGAGGGTATGGACTGTGTATGTAGACTGGATTCATCTGGTAACTTAGGTAATGTGAGGTAAATGCACGAGACCTGTTGATGCGTGTGTTCCAATTATTCAAAATAAACACTGAGACCAATGCAAATTCCAGGAGTTTGCTGGGAGTAATGGCAAAACAGGAGGGCGTTGGAGTGTTGGCACTTACGCTCTCCTTATTGATCAAATTCTGGGTAACAAGTGTGCAGAAAAAAGCTCCCTGTAACCAGTAGTCGTAGTGTCGTCTCCCTCCAGGAGCTTAAAAACTCTGGTTCAAGTGTGGGGGTTCTAACACCACCCTGAGGGGTTTTTCATCTTTAAGTTTTTCCTGTTCTGCCCAGTAAGGTTTCCTCCTCCCCTCCCAGAGGCTGGTTCCCACCTGGCTCCTGCACATGGTTACCTGTTCACATGATCACCTCTCAGCTCCTGTTTCTCGTTTCTGCCATTTGATCCCTCTCACCTGCTCCTCAATGAGCCAACGCCCACTCTCTGTTTATTTTCTCTGTTTATGTTCTCCTCCCATTTCACTCGCCATCAGGTGGGGAACTTCCAATCAGAATTTTGGAAAGTACCGGCGAGCCCGTCATTGCGCTGCCAGCAAAAGACGAGCCAAATTTTTGGGGTATAAATGCCTTTTAACCCCTGCCAAACGAAACGCATCGCTAGTTATCAGGAAATGTCTGTCATTGAGGAAACCAGTGGAGCTGAACACAAGCTTAAACACAGAGCTTTCTCTCGGGATGTTTGTTTTTACCCTTATGTCAGACAAAATCCTCATAATACACATGAAAGAAGATTTGGCGCTATCTGATTTATTTCATATTTATGCAACGGTTCGGAAGCTGTAGCGTAAGCAGGTTTTTTAAAATCTTTAATCCACAGTGGAGGAGGAAGAGCTTAGAAATTGTTTGGATTTTTCAGTTTAGTAAACGAATCATTGGTGATTGAAACACAAAAGTTGTTTTCAGCAGAAGATGCTGCTGATGGCTTGAGGTTTAATTTGAATTAAGGTCGAGGCTCCAAGCTTGCGGACGTGAGGGCACTCTATGTTCAGAAAAACAACCCGAAGAATAACTTTATACAAATTCCTTTTCCAGAATGCTTTAGTCTGCAAGTTCCTGAAGGCTGTTCCTCCCTGTCCGAGCAGTTGATGGGACTGTTGACAGGGTGGACAGTGGATCCTCTGTGGGCAGTACAATCCGGGTCTGATTGAGGGGTTAATAACTGCATAGTTCTGTCCTGTTACTCTTGCTGCTCCTCGCCAGCTTGTCTTGTCTGTCCATCTGAGCAGCAGATGACACGCACACAGTGCGGCTGGCGGAGGAATGTTTCTGAACGCTCGCCTCTCCAACAACCGGGCTCTTGTGAAAGCACTTGGCACGGCCACAGCCGCAGCACTCTTCCCAGCTCTGCGAACGAAAGCCACTTTGTTTGGCTGCCGTTGCCATGGTGTGGAGGAATTTTTTTTTTTTTTTTTTTTGGGAGAATATAAGGATGGATTTTAATCCCCCCCCCTTTTTTTAAACCAGTTGTTTAGATGCTGCCCTCTTTTGCACATAAAGGATGTTTCATGTTGAATTTATGGTTGGGCAGAGAGGAATGTCAACAACACTTGAGAAACACAACTGAAATCGTTTGTAGGACTTTTGACCAAAACAATGAACTAATTTATCTATTAGGTGTTTGTTGGAGTCATTTACTTATCTTGTGTGTCAATTTTTGTGCCACAAAAACACTAATCTGCTTATCTTTTGTTTTGTATCACCACACACGGTTTTTCCTTTCTCATAATGTGCCGTTGTGGGGGTATAGTTAAATTAAAGAGTCTGTGTTACCTTATTTTACAGAAGTTTCTGCATTTTCCTGTAATTTGATAATAATAACAAAAACTGGTTGGAAAATATTTTTATTACCGTCCTTCAGGGAAGGTTAACACTTCCTTGAAGAGAGGCAGTATTATTTTTGGGATTGCTGCCAGACCTTTGACCTTGTTTCAAGTTTGCTGTTGATATAATCAGTAGAATTAATCAATAAGGAAAGGAATCATTAATTGCGCCCTGTAATCATAACTAAATTGTGGATATGCCTGAGGCTGCATGTGGACCATCATCAGCTCTTAATTTTATGTGAGATCGCATTGCTCTTACTACTCCTGGTCTAAAAAGGAACATTAATAAAGCTGAAACAACTAGTACATAGGTTAATCCAGGGACTGAAATCATGAGATTTTTTTGATCATTAATTCTCAAATGCTATCATCCTGCTGCTTGTGCATTGAGCCTGATTGAAAGAGTTATTCTGACTAATGTTGTTTAATGTGTGTTTACAGCCTTTCTTCAGACTACTGAACCTCCGGAAACTCGGCCTGAGCGACAATGAGATCCAGAGACTCCCGCCTGAGGTGGCTAACTTCATGCAACTGGTGGAACTGGACATCTCCAGGAACGGTACAAGCTCACTGCGAACCATCTGTCATAACTCTCATAAAACCACCCTTTGACACATTTTTTTTAAAAGTATGTCCTCATATGGGGATAGTGACTTTAGTTTACAGCATAAAACAATAAAGTCACCACTGTTTAGCAAAGTATAGAAAACATTATGAAGTAAAAGGACTCAGGAGGACATAACCAGTGTCTTGATCGCCCAGGACCAGTAAGAACTGCATATTGGGCAAGTTCATTGGCCAACTTTGTAATGAAGTTTCCACCAGTGACAGTTGTGTTCACCCGTGAAACCCCTCTCTAACAAACATTTATCTTTTTATGCTGCCACCCACTTATTTTCACATTAAATGAAGTGACTTTGACTTAAAATGTCCAAATCTGATGGTTTTAAACAACTAAACTCATCTTCATATCAATGGGACTGACAGTTTTTACCCGTCACTGAATGTGGCTTCCAGAGTATGACACGATGTGTGCTCTTTATACATGCAGAAAGTACTGATGCAGGGGTCACATTGGCTTCAGTTAAGTTAAGCTTTATGTTATAAAATTGGGGTCAGGGTGTATGAGATTAGTGAAATAAAGCGGTTAGTCTTATTGGGGTTGAAAGACAACATGAAGCCAACGCTGTTCATGGCCAGACAGCACAAGTGCTTCATTCGCAACGGTGACTAAAAATCGATGCATGACTATACGGTAAAACGTACCACAAGTATGTGTAGAAATAAAAAGAATACAAGGTTAAAGCCCAGAAACATCTATTTTTCATATCAGCGGTCCAGCCTCGTGCCGAAGCCTCGTTTCTCTGACACACACAATGAGCTGTGAGGAGCTGCCTCTGTGCCTGAGACGGCGAACCCAGGTGAAGTCAAAGAAAATACTTTTCTAGACTTCACAACAGCAGCCCTTGTTACTCTAATCACAATAATCATAATAAAACCAGTGAGGGTAAAAAGCCAGTAGTAGCACTTTATCAAATCACCTGTTCCACAAGGTTAGACATGAAGCTTCAGCTTCTCCCATAAACCATCACTTTATTTAACACCATGATGAAGATTTTAGAAATGAAACCTGCCTGTATGCAGATTAATTGCTGGAGTAGTTTTCTATGATCTTTATATTTGCATTTTACATCTTTCGTTGTCACTGCAATACCTGCAGCATGCAGTGGAAACAAATTTTTGCACCCCAGTGGAGAGCATGGTCAGATCAGTTAAATATTAGCTAGCCCTCTGTGCCAGATTCAGATAGCCATCTGTAAATGTACGCCTAAATGACAAAACCATCCAAATCAAACTGCTGATTCTGCCCTCGGTCAGAAAGGTAAGGTGAAACCCACGTCTGAGTTTGCCCAGCGATATTATTTTCTGCTGTAATGCGCACAAATATCTTGCCCTTTCCACGTCCTTGAATACTTCACATACACAAACGCCGTGGTAGTGGCAGAAAGGTCTCTGTGTTAGATAGGAGACATCTGCCCTGCTACACACTGCATCAAGTGCTGGGGGAGGCAGTGTGCAGTGGCCTGTGAGGGCCTTTCCCATCTGTCTGCCTGTCTGCTTCCCCACTCCTGCTGCAGGACAGTGCTGAGCCAGATAAATGTGATTGGCTGCTTGGCTCTGTAGGGATTTCTGAGTGTGCACCTGCAGCATCCAGTAGTGAAAATACACTTTGCAATGATGCCACTAGGTCATATTTCCTCCCCTGCCTTTTTATATGTGCACTAGACTAAGCAACCAAGAGTAAAGTAAACATTTAAGCTGTTTGGCACTGTACAAACTATTTTGCTACCTCTTAATATCAAGGTAAGGTGGCGTCGTTGACCTGCCTTCTGGATAGGACTAATTTCAGCAGGGCTGTGACGTACTCTCAGGGTGCCAGGCAACTACAGTGTCCAGGAGATGAGACTTTCTGCTCGTCCCATGTAAAGTTTTAATCATTGGCCCCAAAATTAATATGATTATATACTTCTAACTTAGTTTATAATATCACAGCATAGTTATTAGTAGACTTATATTTTAGCTTACGACAACAAATCTGCAAAAGGTTTAGTAACTGAAACCTTAAAACTAGAGCTGGGCGATAGAACGATAACGATATGTATCGCGATATAACTTTTACTCGATAGAGAAATTAAGCTATCGCGATAGACCTCGCCGCTCTTGTCCTCAAAAAAAAAAAAAAAAAAAAAAAAGGTCAGCCAATCCAAATTAAGTAGCGCAGAGCCGAACCAATCACAGCCGCAGCGTCACGTCGCGTGACTTGTTACGTACAGCACAAGTGCCAAGCCGCACGTGTGTTTGTTTGGGAAGCAGCCAGCGGGTAATGGAGCCAGCGCGTAAAGGAGGAAATGAGTGTGCCGACTAGAAAAATCAACCGAGCGTGACCGAAGAGAAAACAGATGATGGTTCCAACGCCGGAGAGATTGTCAAACGGAAGAGCCATAGAAGTTCCGTAGTGTGAAGGTATTTCGGCTATTTCAAGTCTGACAAAAACAGAGTAGCGTGCACTGTAAATTGTGCCGAAAGCAAGTCTGGAAATACAATAAACTGGTGCATGCGTCACACTGTGCGCCACGTTATTGTTTCGGTGAAATGAATTTCTACAATACTGTTAATTCTACTCTCTGCAGTGTTTAAATGCTTACATATACACACAGTTACTGTCCGTCCACACATACGACTCGGTTCTGCTTCTATGCCCCAGCTTTGTTTACTTTTTCCCACCGAGGCTTCTAGACTTCTGATTGGCCAACATTTCTGCACGGTTAGGAATCTAGCTCCACCTGCTGCTTTGGCATGTTCATAGCAGCGTTTTCCTTCATTTCTCCCTTTTATGTGTGGACGGGATTATTTTTTAAAACGAAAACGGAAAATCTCCGTTTTCAAAAATACCCGTGTACGTGTGGACGTAGACTCAGTCTCTGACGGGAAGCGCTAATTCATCATTCGGCTTTTGTCAGACTAAAGTAACCGTTAAAACTGTTTGAAAAGCTCAGCTATACAACAAGGAGAGATTGAGAATTTCCTTTTAGTTCTCAGTTTATTTGATATTGACAAAAGTTAGTCAGTTTTGTCTGTTCTTCTGTAAAACAAACTAAGATTTATTTTTAGAATTAATATTTTGTTTCTAAGTGGAATTGACAATTTAGTCTGTTTCGTTTGTTCTATTTTGAAACTTAAACGCTTTAGCGGCTGCCTTTTGTGTAGTTTGCAATATTTGCCTTTATTTATCTGAAAAAGTCTCATGTTCCTTAAGTACATCTACCCTGTTGAACTTATTATGGGAAATAAATATTTAAAAACAAGCTGCTGATTATTTCACATTTTACTTGTGAGCAATGGCACATTTAAATCTTACAAATATAGTTATTTGGCTTATATCGTGATAGATATCGTTATCGCCTGAAATGAAAAAAACATATCGTGATATGAAAAAATCTCATATCGCCCAGCTCTACTTAAAACAACTATTGATGGAGTCTTGCTGCAGGTATCGACAGAGGTGGTCAGCTGTGTAAGACCTTGGGTGGATGGGAGCAGGTGGATGGGAGCAGGTGAACGGCTCGCTTTCATTCACATTTAAACTGTGAAGAGTCTGTTTGATGACTCATAACTGAACAGCCAGTTTGCTGCACACGTCGACTCCGAAGGTGGACATGCTCTGTGTTGGTATGAAACATGTCATGCTTTTTGGCATCTGTTGAACATAGTATTTACACGAAGAAGCATTGTTTTAATCATAAAACTACTATTATTTACTCATTTTTTTCACTTTTTGCCTAATCCCTTAGATCTATAATACCTTAGATCTATATACAGCAATAGAAGCGTGCACACCATCTGGCTGCAACTTTATTTTATATAATTTTGTCTGTCTTTAATTCCTTCTTTATCTTTAGCCATGAATTTTACTAGAGAGACGGGCTGCAATCAAGTCCCACCTACCCACCCACACCCCAGGGGAAAAAGTTTGTGGCTTTCCACTGACTGTATTGTACTAAACATAGGCTACTAAAATAATCCTCTCACTTAATGTTTTCAGTCAGCTTAAGGCGTTTTGTTAGTGTTTCAGCCCATAGTTGCGTGTTGATTGTTTTCCCTTGTTGGGGGTGTGGTTTTCATAGTATTACACAATGCTCTCTGTCTTTATACTCAGGAAATGTAATGCAGTTAGATTCAGATGTATGTATCAAATGTAACTGATGTGGCCATGCACAGTCAGTTGCCTTCTTCAGAGCTGGTGTGTTTGGACAGATAAAATGAAAGAAAGAGTCAGTCTGCGATTAAATGGGACCAACTCGGCAGTTACATGTAAATTGTTCAATATGGCGAGTAAGTGTAATAAACTGGTGAAAACTGCAAATCTGTTGCTCTCTGCACACACAAAAAGTCATAGTTACGTCTTACAGTCTTGCCAGAATCTCATAGGTTTGAAACTAATTCAAAAAAGGCACCCGGCAGTCTTGTTTTTATATAGGAATATAATAAGAATACACCAGTTTCAATCAGCTGACCAAAGTCTCAATCACACAGAGATGTCCCAGACAAGTTGCACTGATTGGCGGAGACTGGCTCGGATTGATTACACCACGCTGCTGACCTGTCTGCGTTTATGAATTAGACAAAAATCATTTGCAAACCCTCAGCAATCTATGAGTGATTGCAGTTAGTCTGAAGACGATTGCAAACACCTGTGTATCAAAAGTGTTCACCCAGAATCTGCTCGTGGGTGTCGCACACTCAACCTGTGGGCAACCAGTTGGTCACCGCAACTCCTTAGACACAATCTCAAACGTTAAATGCAGTCTTTGGACAACCACAGATTTTTACCCTAGCCACAAAGAGGTCTTTTAGTGTGACTGAACCATAACTGATATGGTATTGTGTGCTCACCTTAGTTTTAATTTATGTTCATTTGGTTATTTTTGCCACCATAAGAAGTGTTTGTGATTTTCTTGAGACTGAGATCTCTGTGTAAACATAAGTCACTTGCTTTGAAAAGGTGTTTCCTTTGACAAGTGCTTATTATATCAAAATCATAAAAACTTTAATAAAAGAATAAAGGCTAAATATTAAGCAATAAAACATGACTAAAAACTGAAACAAGCAAATGTAGTTTTGAAACCTAATGAAACTAAATTGAATTGAAAAAAGGAACATGAAAACAAAATGCTAATGTAAATATTAAAATTATACCACACTATTAGAACTGGCACTGATATCAGCCCTGTTGAATGAGCTGGTTAAATTAATTTTGTACTAAATTTTCAAAGCTCATGCGATGAAGAGCTGCAAGATTTTGAAAAAGGATAGATATTATTTCATAATGAATAATTATTTGGTTCCTGACTCTAAATGGTCATTAATAAGAACAAAAATCACGTGAATTAGCTGAAACACATATGTACATGTGTCTTTAATCACCACTATTGGCCTAGATCTTCACAATCAGTGCATCCCTGAGAAAATCAAGATGTACTGCTACACTTTGACCTCTGCAAAAAAAAAAAAAAAAAAAAAGTCTCATTTTTCTCTCATTTTCTTTTCTCTGACTTCTCTGCTCTTTGGCATCTGGTTGTGGTTATGAGGAACTTTTTAAAATCATTCGCTCTATAGCATCAGCTCGTTTCACGATCCACATCTGTGCATCCACAACGCTGACTCCTCCTCCTTCTTCTCTTTTTCTCCTGCAGATATTTCTGAGATCCCAGAGAGCATTAAGTTTTGCAGGGCCTTGGAGATTGCAGACTTCAGTGGAAACCCCCTCTCCAGGTAAGTGCATTTCAACAGCCCATCATTTTTTATGATCATTGTGGGGAAAATATAAGAACGGGGTATTCCCAGATACAGTAACGAGAGCAGAGTTGTGGGGGCAACACTGTTTTGACAGACGAAATGAAGCGCGAGTGTCATTTTCTTTGCTCTAATTACTTTGCTAAGTGTGCAGTGAACTGAACTTTTAAATATTGTTGTTTTTCTTGTGTGTGCATGTAAACAGTATATCGAGTTTGTGGAGTGTGACCCTCATTTCACTGCTAAGTAAGGATTAGGAACAGTAAATGAACACATGTCTGGAGCTGATCATTGTTTTGCGTGCTTACTACCGCTTGGCTTAACCAGGATACCAGTTAATTCCCATTATAGCCCCATTCACCTTCATCACCTTCTTACCCCCTGTCATCAATATCTCTCCGCTCCTACTATGGAAAAGTGATTGAACAGCTGGCAGAAACTTTGATCCTGATTTCTTTAACAGATGTGGAGGGCTAGTAGTCAGTGTGTGAGTTGGCTGTTGCCATTAAAATCTAACAGACACCATTTTCCTCTTTCTCTCTGCCTCAGATTGCCGGATGGTTTCACTCAACTCCGAGCGCTCGCTCACCTGGCCCTCAATGATGTGTCATTACAGATGTTGCCCAACGACATTGGAAAGTATGTACACGCTCATTATGGCTCATAGAAGACAATCTGATAAGTTAAAAGGATTGTTTTTGTTTATTTTTTCAGTTTTTCCTCTTGGTTAGATTAAGAAAAAAATAAAAGCAACACTGACGCAAGTGGGAGCATTGGCTATCTTTTATCTCATTGTAAATGAAAAACCTTGCTCCTGGTCTGGGACGTCGTGAAAGGCCCCTTTGTCCTCTTTCCAGCACTGTGCCGATGCCGGTGCCTAATCTAGAGCCAGGTTCATTCCTTTTTTACTGAAGAACAACCGGTGCCAACAAGCTGGTAGTTGGCAAAGCACAAAAAAACTCATGAATGGAAAGTTGGAACCACAGATCAGGGTATTTCCTGGCTTAAAATTGGCTTTTGGGAATGAGGGGTGGCTGTGAATGTATGCATGATTGGTTGCGCCAATAGTTGACAGTGAGTGCTGTGTTACTGTACTTCATGTAAGTGCGCATTTTTCTGCCATTGCTGGTTATTAGATGAAGAAAAATTAATTTTATGCAAAAAAAAAATGAAACCGAACTTAAAAGATCACAATAGTTATAGTATTATTACAAGCCTGGAGAGACTAAACTAAATTGAAACCAAAGCCAAATATTCTTGTGTTCAGGATGAACCGGGGCCATGTCAGTGGCAACAGGAAGGGTTCCCCAAGAAATGACTGAAGCCTGAAGGATCTGTTCACAATTACTTTCTTACAATATTACCCCAAATTTTGCTGTATCACATTTAGTTCTCAGACCTGCTGCAATGTGGGACCAGTTCTCAGAAGTCAGGCCGAACTGGCTTCGCACAGGCAGAGAAAGTGTTTCCATGTTGGAAAATGACAATCCCACGAGGGGCCAGACATGTACACTTTACTGACACGCTTTAATTTGACGTTAAATACAGCACATTCTTACTATGATCCATTTAGGCCCTAAGGCGACCAAACAGTTTTACTGACTAAAATGACAGAGAGGTTAATTTATTATACATGAATACTCTTTGAGCATAAACCATCCACCTCAAGGCTTCTGCAGTTATAAATCTTGTTAAAGCAATGCTAGCCATGGTTCACTGCAAAACATTACAGTGGTAGTAATTAGAATTGGGACAATTGGGTAACGAGATGAAGAACAAAACACTGTAAAAAGTTGTAGGAAAAGTAGACTCGGACATTTTTATCATTAAAATATTGCCTATATTCTACCGTAAAGCCAGCTTAATGATCCATTTCTAAACAAAAGAAGGAGGAAAGAAATCCTGATGTTTCAGCAAAGTAATGAGTCTTCATATCTTTTATATTTGGACTTGCACAGTTTTGTTTTTTTTAAGATTTGAGGCGCCTCACACATCTCTACTGATATCTGTCTTTGGCATCAGATTTCCTTATTTTGTGCCAAAAGCAGAGGGTGCAGCAGTCGCTGTGCACACTTTAGTGACAATTCACAGGCGTAAGATTGAGAACCTAAGTCCTTAAAGGTTGCAAAAACTGTAACCTGTGGCCACTGAGATTTACAGATGTGCATGAATAAAGCGAGCGTGCAGGTTCTCGAGGAGTACCGATGTGCTCTGAGGAGGCTGCGGGCCACTGCTGTTCTCAGACAGATGGAAGAGTCCCTCACCACGCCTGGCAGCCCAGACGAACAGACCCGCCATCTGACTAACCAGCCTGCCTCTCCTCTCCCTTCTTTTCCTCCCCCATCCTTTATTCTCTTCACCTGCCAACTCCTGCCCCTCATATTTTTTGTTTCTCTTCATTTATGTGCCTCGTGTTCTCTGTCATTCCTGCTTTTGTAGTTTGGCCAACCTGGTGACATTGGAGCTCAGGGAGAACCTGTTGAAGTCTCTGCCCACGTAAGTTTTTCATCTCTGCTCATACCACACATACATATTTCACTCTCCGCATTTTTCATTGGGGTGTTTTGTCACTGCTACTTTTACCTGTCAATTACTGTAGACGTTTCGGGAAAGGCACACACCACGAGTTACTTGTAACAGCAGGTTTATGAACGTACATCACTACATGTGAATGAATGGTATGCTGTTACCAGTTGGAGCCGGAGCTCTTTGTTCTTTGAGTGCACATATTTGTGTGACGTAACCGGTTGTGCTTTGATACAGGTCGCTCTCTTTCCTGGTGAAACTGGAACAGCTGGACCTGGGCAGCAATGAACTGGAAGTTTTGGTAAGTCAGCGTCTCATCCCCTTAAATGATCATCATCGTGCTCAGACAACACCCTTGATTGTGTCTTAAAATAATATTTTTCATTTTCGCACAACCAGTAGACCAGACATACACACACGCACACACTCTCAAATGGACACGTATCACAAATATCCCTCTCACAGTCCCACCACAGTAATTATGATCCAGACCACATGTTTACTTCACCAAACGCGGCCCAGCCAGTCTGAAAGAAGTGAAGCCCTGCCTGCACTACCCCAGAGTGAGTGCCGGTTTTAGCCTGGGAACACCCACCTGTCTGTGTAGGACAGAGCAAACAATGTCTCATGTCCTGACGAGGGCGGAGGCTGAACAAACAGTTGACATCATGATGAAACCTTGCCTGCATGCCTGTCATAGACCATCGCTCAGCCAGCTTAGATGCTAATTAATTATTTCATATTTTAAATTTGAGCTCATTTCAAGATCCTTCAGTTGACTTTTTTTCCTAAAATCAGAATCTGATTTACCAACATTAGATTAAGAAATCTGTGTCAGACTAGAAGTCTCTGAAAGTCCTGAAGTTTCTGTTTCAGTACACTAATACACGGGAAAGATCATATGCATATTTAAAGGAGAGCTTTTGTGCTGATTCTTGTACTCACCTGTCATACTTGAATGGTTCAATCCGTATTTATCTTATGTTGGATTTTTGTGCAGCCCCTGTGCATCTATGAGATCTGAGGTTTACTTGTACATTTACTGACCTCATTATTACCATTGTAAAATTACATACTTGATATAAACCAAGGAACAGCATAATAGGGTCACCTTTAATTTTTATTTATCTTCTGTTTCAAAGTTTGAATTGTCCTCTACAGGTTTGTGGGGATTGTTGCCTGAAGTATCAAAGGCATATTTTTCCAACTCGGGAAAAGTGTAGAGTTGGAGATTTAAAGTAATTTTACTGGTGTAGCTGGTGAAAACAGAAGTAAAGGCAAAGCTGAAGCAGTACTTTAGCTAATTGACCCTACCGGTTAAATACCCTCAACTATATCCAAGGGCTGTGGGTGGATTCCTCTGAAGGGTTTCTGGGCTTACCCTTAGGGATAAGTCTTTAGGAGAGACTCGGAGTAGAGCCTTTACTCTTCTGTATCCAAAGCAGCCAGTTGAGGTGTTACAAACATCTGACTGGGATGTCTTCTGGAAGTTGATAAGGCACTTTTGACTGGGAGGAGACCAGATTATGCTTCTTAGCTGTCTTGGGAACACCTCACCATTCCCCAGGGAGAACTGGAGGAGGTGCCTGGCGAGAGGGAGGTTTATGGGAATGTTTTTTATACGATTGCCCATGTGACGTGGACAACACGGGACAACAGAACTTCTTGAGCTAGTGAACTTTTTTGACAACCTGCCAGATGGCCAGGACTCAAGTGAAGTGCAAAAATGACCAAATAAAACAAAAGTGATGAGTGACAAGAAGAAGACGGCACTGTTGGTGAGGCGAGGGTGTGTGTGTGTGTGTGTGTGTGTGTGTGTGTGTGTGTGTGTGTCAGCTGCCAGAGAAGAGAGATGGTAAGAAAGCACACCTGGTACTGATGTGTCAGAAAAGTCAAACTGAAAGTCGGAATCCGGTGGGAGTCGTGCTAGTCAGCGCTGATTTCAGCTTCAAGCATCTGAAGCGGTCTGTGGTATAACTGAGGCTGACATCAGATCTTTCTGTAACAGTCATCCACAGATGTCACATGATTTTTCTTTTCCAAATTCTCAGCCCCTCTAACAGATTTCAAATGAAGCACGATCTGCACAACGTGCCGTTTTAACACAAATTAGATTTTACATAAAAATATGGCCACTCACTCTCTTTTCTCCCCTACTTTCCTTTAGCCGGATACCCTCGGCGCTCTCCCCAACCTAAGGGAGCTGTGGCTGGACCGTAACCAATTGTCCTCATTACCACCAGTAAGTACAGCTTTTTCGTTTTTTTGTTTGTTTGTTTAAATGTCCTGATTTTCATGAAGTTCCAAACTGTTGCGTTCATGCAGAATTTACTCCCACTAGCAGTTTTCTTCTTTTTGTGTTTGCTGGATTGTATTGTGTCTCTATAGCTCACTGTAAGTGGTAATTTATGTGTTTGTGTGTGTGTGTGTAGGAGCTGGGAAACCTTCGTAGGTTGGTGTGTCTGGATGTGTCGGAGAATCGTCTGGAGGAGCTCCCGTCAGAGCTGAATGGCCTCCTGGCTCTCACAGACCTGCTGCTCACACAGAACCTGCTGGAGGTCGTCCCGGACAGCATAGGTGAGAAACACCAGGGGAAGGGACAGGCTTGTTTTCTGTGTTGGTGTTGGTGTTTATTACCTTTGTTTTGTAACTAACTCAGTAATTCAATAATAATTCAATAATGTTCTTCCTGTAAACTGTGTGTTATCTTGTCAGTGAAAGTTTTTGCACCTAATCATGAAGCCATATTAAGTATACATTGGGATATGGCTCTAGTGTGATCTTAAACAAGAACAGCACTGCCCCCTACTGGAAAAATAATGCCAATGAAGCACAGATATGTGTTTAATTGCAAGGACTAATTAGATTAACATATTTTACAGTATGTTGTCCGTGAGTCTTGCAAACTCACGTCTACATATTGCAGCTTAGATGGTGCATCATAAATAAGCTGTAATGTGGGCTAAGTCTGTGCTTCTGCTGTTCCTTCTTCTTTGCCCTTGCTGTGGAAAGAATACAAATAATTTCTTAGTAGTGAAGTAAAACAGATTTTAAGAATCGTGAGAACTGCCCACTGCAGCCTCTGTCTTTGTTTTTCATTTACGCTTTTCTGCATAAAACTCTTGCTCAAAATCACACACATCCACACACAGATATATTAAGAAACACGTATGTGATCTGAATGAAAAATAGTGCAGCCCAGTAGTGAAGTGTACGATGTTGTGTATTGCTAAATGTTACCGTGATTTGTCTGCAGGGTCTCTGAAACAGCTGTCCATCCTGAAGGTGGACCAGAACAGACTGACCCATCTGACTGATTCAATAGGCGAGTGTGAAAACCTCACAGAACTTGTCCTGACGGAGAACCTGCTACAGGTAGGGACGCACAGTATAAACTGCTTCCTGCAGCCCTGCATTTGATCTATTAGGGGTTCATGCACACCCATTAATAACTAAGTCCCATTAACAATAATTATGTTGAATCACTGATTCCATTAATGGCTTTCGTCTCCCTCCCTTTCGCTTTCAAAGTCGCTTCCTCGCTCGCTGGGCAAGCTGAAGAAGCTGACCAACCTGAATGTAGACCGCAACCGGCTGGGCAGCGTGCCCAAAGAGCTCGGCGGCTGTGCCAGCCTCAACGTCCTCTCACTGAGAGACAATCGCCTGGGCAAACTGCCTGCTGAGCTTGCAGATGCCACGGAGCTGCATGTGCTGGATGTGGCTGGAAACAGGTACCCTTACTTAACACCGTAGACCGTTAATAATGCACAGCAGCTTTCACAGCAAAGGTTGAAGACCTGAAGAGAATGTCTTTGCCAAAATAGATAAAACAAAGACGTTGCACCGACACTTTTGCCCTTGTAGTTCGTAATTTCATCACAGGTATGACTTTGTGCAAATTGTTTGCTTCAGATCATTCTAGTAACATAATTATCGCTGTCAAAGTGTTATTTCAGAGACTTTTATTCTTACATTCTCCTACAGTCTCTTTGCAAGTCAAAATAATCCCAGCTAGTCTTGTACTGGTGCATGCTGCCCCCTCATTTCACTGTTTTAACGAGAGAGTGGCCTTACAGCAAGGGTTGTCAAACTGGGGTGGGGTGTGAACAACCGGTCACCAGGAGGTAATTTACTAATCAGAAGGTTGGTGGTTTGATCCCTTGCTGTTCAAGTCTGCATCCCAAAGTATCCTCGGGCAAGTTGCTTTCTGAATGCATGCGAGTAGGTGAATGAGGCATGTTGTGTGCTTAAGAGGAGTAGGAAAGTGCCATTTAACCATGACAGTGGTCCTGTAGACCACAGTATGTGAGGAAAAGCGCAAATGTCTCCCATGCCTGCTGCAGTCTCATTGGCTCTGACAGGCATGTTGAAAGAAATTCAGGTTTGTCTCACAAAGACGCCAGCCCAGCTGATGTGCTGTTCTGAGTGTACTGACAGGAAAGAAGGAAATAAATAATAGATCCACCTTAAAAATCTTAGAAATTTTAAGCTCATCTATCTGTCCTGACCTTACGTTTATCCAGATTACAAAACTTGCCTTTCGCCCTGACAAACCTCAACCTGAAGGCCATGTGGCTCGCAGAGAACCAGTCTCAGCCAATGCTCAAGTTCCAGACAGAGGACGATGAGCGAACAGGAGAGAAAGTGTTAACCTGCTATTTGCTACCCCAGCAGCCTTCCCCAAGCCTAGGTAAGCAACATGCTTTAAATAAGCATTTGAGTATTCAGACCTGTTAGACGCATGTATAGATGATGTTTATTTTAACTGGCACACTCTTTCTTCTGCCCTCTCTCTTTATCTGCAGAGAACCTGCTGCAGAACAGTGTAGATGGTAGCTGGACAGACAGCAACCTGAACAGAGTGTCGGTCATCCAGTTCCAGGAGGAGACCAAGGCTGAGGTGGATGAGGATGATGAGGCTGCTGCAGAGCGTAGAGTGAGTAAAAACTAAACAAAGCAAACCTGACCCATCAGCACAAAAGCTAAAAAAAAAGAATAATGTCGTGCTTAAAGGAAAATCAGATAAAATGCCTTTTTTTTTTCTTCTTCAGGGCCTTCAGCGCAGAGCCACACCACATCCCAGTGAGCTGAAGGAGATGAAGAAAGGGATTGAAGAGAGGAGGAATGAAGCCTACACATCCAGACAGGACGAGGATCAGTCCCTGGACCCACAGGTACATAACGTCAGAAATATGGTCACCACCAAATTAAAAAATAATAAAAAAAAATAAGCAAATAGCATTTCATTTCTTGCTGCTCAGCTCCAGTATTACAAACAACTAAACTCAAAATTTGCTCTAATACTGCCTGACTAGCTGCTGCTGTGGTACATGCTGATATAATAAAAATGATGTCATTGTTTTTAGGGAAAAAGGCTCAGTGACCTCTCCAATCAGAGCCATGACTCACAGGTGTCTAACAGCACGCTGTCGGCCACCTCCCACGAGGACAGACAAAATGTGACTGAGGCCTCTCACATGGAGAACCGTGTGGACGGCCCTTCCCCTCAGGATGAGGATGACCTTGATGAGATGGAGGTGGAGTACATTGAGGTAAATGGTGGATAGGTTTTCTCCTCATTTCATGGATTCAGTCTTTGTTTCTGTTAGACTCTAAAATCCTCTCCCTTTCTTTTCTCCAGCCCACTGTGCACTTTGCAGAAGAACCCATCATCCGAGGTGGGGACGAGGACCACGAAGAGGACGGCGAGGACGGCGAGAGGAGTGACGAGGAAGACAAGAGGCCCATGGAGAAGCGTCTGATACGAAAGGACACGCCACACTACAAGAAGCACTTCAAAATCACCAAGCTGCCCAAACCCGAGGCTGTGGCCGCTCTGCTGCAGGGCTTCAGTCCCGACGCCCTCAACTCTTCTGCTCAGGCTGCCGAGGACGAGGAGGATGAGGAGGAAGAGCAGAGTGATGGCACTCCTCAGCACCGCCACAGAGTGGAGGAGGCAGAGGACAGCCGGCATCAGGTCAACTCCAGCCAAGTAAAGGTAAAAGAGAGATCCAAACACTGGCAGGGTGCAGTTCAGGAATGTAGAAAGTGTTATATATCATCACAGCAGGACATGCAGTACACACCAAGTCAGCATATTTTAGGATTTAAAACTTTACATATATATTTTTCCTTGTTTGTTGCCTCTTTGCAAACATTTGATATTGTATGCATGGAGAGCCTTTGCCACCTTGCAAGCTGCATTCACTTAAGATGGATGTGGCGTTGCATGCAGGGTCATTCCTGAGATGAAGCCGCCCTGCCCTTGTGCTATAAATCCAGGGTGATGCATTACATTCATCGCAAACTCACCAACAGCCTCATCTGGCCCCCTCAGATTTTGCCTCTCCTAGCCTGTTCCCCCACAGAAAGCATGCAGACATGTCGGCATAAATCAGCCACAGGCCATTGTGATCCCTTGTTTCCATACAAGACTGCATTCAGATCTTTGTCTAAACCTTTTTTTTTTTTCTTTGTGGATAAATTCAGCCTTTCTTGCTCAACACTGGCGCGCCTTATCATCAGTTACCTGCTGATTTAATTGAATATTGACACTTGCACACTGCTTTTGTAACATTGTATGCTTGTAAAGTATGAATGAAACGAGTGAAGGATGCTCGGGAGCTGCTTATCAATGAATGTCCTTGTTGATCATTAGACTTATTAAATTGAGATCTGTTAATTTGTGTCACGCTAATTGTAGAAATCCTTTTTAACCTAATGATCAAACATCATCATGAATCTGTTTGGTGTGTGGGTATGGATGTGTGCGTGCGTGTGGGTGACTGAACTCGGACCAACCAGAACATGTACTGGCAGAGCTGGAACACAACATCGAATGAGCCTGGCTTGCGTCACATGGTCGTATTTTCTTTCACTGGATTTTTGTAGGGACTTTGTTCTTCTAGTAAATCAGTTTCTGTATCATTTCTTTTGTACTTTCTGTGAATCGTTTAGCTATGTTTATATTTTTTTAGCTTGAAACTGACTTCTTCACCTAAATTTAAGTCTTGCTCCTGGAGGAAATTGCTCTTGATGGTGTGGAGGCTGGGCTTGTTGTGGTTTGGGAGCTTTTGCCTTCTTTTGTCCACTCTCTCTGCACTGTATTTTTTGCATTCTGGCTCAGCTCCTTGGTCTTGTCTTTCCACCTCTGCCTGTATTTTGCTTTTGGTGGCTGGGGAGTGAGTGTGGATTCGCTTCTGCTTCACAACCTGCAAGCAGACAGTGGCGTGTTGAGTGTCTGGTGTGTCTGGAGGTTTTTATCTTTTTTTTGTTCTGTTTTGGTTTTTTTTGGGTGTGTCTGTCTGTGTGCATATTTTTATTTTGGCCTGACTAATCCGCATGCCTCTTGCTGGTTCCTGTCCTAACAGGGGGTGTCATTTGATCAAGTCAATAATCTGCTGATTGAACCTGCTCGAATTGAGGAGGAAGAGGTCTGTACCTACTCTTTCCCATCCACTCTTGTCTTTCCGTCCCTCACTCACCCATTCATTTGTCCACCCATACTCAGAAATGGAGAAAACTTCCCACAGAAATCCACGGTTAATCCGAGCCGATCACTAGGGAACCCCTCTAATCCCAGCTCATTCATAGGAGGGGCCAGTGTGGCAGAACCTGAATACAGGACTGAAACTGACACTATTTATTTCTTCCTTCTTCTTACTGGACAGCTGGAGTGTGGACACTTTAACCCTGTGATAGTAAACATGTAGTGAGAGTTTCATTCTCAGCATTTTGTGCTTTTTGGAGTCTAAAGCAGAGAGCCAGGCACTTGATAACATTTAACTTTTAATTTAATTTTTGGCCTTTTAAACACAACATTTGTGGTTTTCCATTGATCCTTCCCTTCTGGGTTTTATAATAAACCAATCACAGGTCATACCTGAAAAACAGCATTTGTTTAATAAATTGCCTGAACTCAGTGAATGAATTAAGTTTTTTTTTCTTTGTAATCATAGTAAGATTGTTACTTCCACCTCAAAACAAGGTAGTCATCATTAACTGGTGATTAATTAACCCCGCCCCCTCAGTATTTGAACATACACACCAAAGAGGAAAAAATATATACCACCAGTTCCTCTGTTAAATAAACAGTGTGAGGAAAACACGGAGAGCAGGTTCTCAGCGAGGAGTCGGTATTCTTATCATTGCACGTGCTGCAGATTGATCAACCATATCTGATGTTTTTGCATATAGATTAAACATGTAGGTTAATTTCAGTGCATTTACAGCAGTTTTGCACAGCTTGCACATATTGCTATTTTGAAGGAAACTCTGGCCTTTCCAGTTATTGAGTAGTTGAATTCTCCTCTTCAGGCTGAACCAGATCTTTTTCTTTTCCTTCTATAAAAGGGTTAGTGCCATAAGGATTGAAGTTTGCAGATATTCAGTCAGTCCAGGTTCTGGCACACTCTGCCTCTCCCCTGCCTCTCCTCTGCTTCTGCTGCTTTGCTCCTTTTTCATCCCGTCCAGTGCCTTGTCACCCTGGAATGAATGGGCTGGTTACACTCTGATGAGGCAAACCCACTTTCCCAACTTCCTCCAGGTTTTAATCCAGCTTCCAAACAGGATAACCGGTGGATGGATGACAAAGTCGATTTTTGATTGTGTAAATCTGTAACACATGGCTGTTATTTCAAGTGCAAGAAAGAGCTTGTTTCAGATTTGCTTTTGTTTTTGTTTATTCCCTCCATCTACATTTTATTTTTTGCATGATTCACTGTATATCGGTACATTTAGTATGTTTAGTGTGGGTGATGAAAATTTGCAAGAAACATTTGTTCTCGCTCTTGTCACACTGAGCAACACTGGAGTCTCAAAGCAAGGACTCCACCTTTAGGGCACTTAAAACTGTTGTCTGTTACTTCCTTCCATCTGTACCTCATTTGTCTCCATTCCTCCCCTTTTTGCATGGCCTGCAAGTATGCATAATGTACACAAGTCTACACTCCAATTCATACATAATACACTTTGTTTTGGGAAAAATGTTGGTCTCACTGAGTCCAGCCGAAGCATTTTTACACAGTGTGTTAGAATTCATGTCCCATGTCAGTTCATTGGTTAATTGGTGGATGATTTGGGTCAAACTTTTTGTTCGTGCTTTAAATCAAATTCAGGCAAACACAAAGCCATCTGCCTCCCATTTAAACTGGCATAGGCCCATAAACTGACACTGAAGTCAGCGTTTATCCATCAGCAAAAACAAAGGGTGCAGCACTGATTGACGCCACCTTCTTGCTGAAAGAGGTTACCCACGACTTAAAATACAGGGTTCATCAAAAAGAATCATCCGATTTTAAAGTGCTTTAAACCTGCAGCTGTTCACCGATCAACTATCGAAACACGTACCGTGAGTAAGAGCACATTCGTGAGTTTCATGTGGTTGCCGGTAGGTAACATAACAACAGCACTGACTCCAGACAATGCTCACTAAAGTATGGAAGGAGTTTGGCTATGTCATGGACATTTACCATGCGTCCGGAGGGAGGCACATTGAGCACTTGACACTGCAAGCTTTGCATAAAACTTTATATTCATGCATTTTAAAAATTTACCACATGGTTCTTTCTCTGTCCATTACTTAAAAAATGTAGCCTTTCAAAATCAGATAATTCTTTTTGATACACCCTGTATAAACCCAAACAAAACAAAGTAAATCGCCGTGGGCTCGTTTTCCTCTTAATCTGCCCTAAGATGAGTAGGCTTTTTATGGGTTTTCACTCCCAGTATTGTTGACTCCCCCGTCCTCAACTTGCAGCACACCCTCACCATCGTGCGACAAACAGGCGGCCTGGGCATCAGCATTGCTGGTGGAAAAGGATCCACGCCTTACAAAGGAGATGACGAGGTAGGGCTGGGTACCTGGGGTTTGTTTAGGTTTGGAAGTATTTGAGGTCACAGACTGACTGTGTTAATGTTTGGTTGCTTTTAGGGAATCTTCATCTCCAGAGTGTCTGAAGAGGGTCCTGCAGCCAGAGCTGGAGTTAAAGTGGGAGACAAACTGCTGGAGGTAAACATCTGCATGTCTGTGTGTGTGACAGGGAGGGTGACTAGAAGAGTGTTTTGTTTGTTTTGTTAAACAGAAAACAAACAATCTCCTTGTCTCAGGTAAATGGAGTGGACCTCCACGAAGCTGAGCATCACACAGCAGTGGAAGCTCTCCGCAGCTCCGGTGCTACAGTTTCCATGACAGTGCTGCGGGAGCGCATGGTGGAACCAGAGAACGCCATCACCACCACACCGCTTAGGCCCGAGGATGACTACTTCCCACGGGAGAGGCGGAGCAGCGGCCTTGCCTTTAACTTGGAGAACAGTCCAAGCGGGCCGAGGCAGCGGTTCTCCACCTGCCTCATCCGTAATGACAAGGGGCTGGGATTCAGCATCGCAGGGGGGAAAGGCTCCACGGCGTACCGCACAGGGGACACGGTGAGGAAAGAAAAGAAATAAAAGAGCCTCAGCTGGCTCCTTTCGATGTGGAGGAGCCGCGGCTCGACTCTGAGCCCCTCCCAAATGACTGAACTCCTCACCCTATCACTAAGGGAAAGCCTATCCACCTTTTTCTCATCCTCTGAAGATCACTTCTTATATTGAGCTGTCAGATACACATCATAAAGTTCATAGTGCTGACATCAGAGGCAGAGAGGTGTCGGTTGTGACAGTGCAGACATTAAATTCATTATGTGACAGATGAGGCAGAATTTATTCGCAAATGGAATAAAAATGTTGATATGTAGAAAAACAGGCTGCGGTTACGTTAATCTGTCTTTGTGGATTGACCATCATGTTGCCGTCTGCTTACAACCATTTATTGATCAACTGCTGTACGTGGAAAAGGCATCTGTCCGTCTATGGTGCACTTTTTGTTGTCATACTACAACCAGTTCTGAGCGGGTAAATGATTTAGCTGTTTCAAGTGTGTTTGCCGTGTATTTCTCTGTTGATATGCATGAATGCCAGCTAAATTATTGAGAACATAACTGATAGATTAATCCATACTTAGAATAATGGTTGTGGATTGTTCCCAACACCTGGTAAGCCCTGTCTGCATGTGAAGCGATTGATTTGCTTTGCTTCTGTAGCTGAAACTTGGGCACTACTGTAAGAGTCCAGGCCTCTTGTTGCCAAGGTGACCCTCTTATGTATTTACCATCCCATCATTTTCCACCCAGCAGCATCTTTTGCTCCCATATCAAACACCTCCCTCGTAGTTGACCTGCCCACTGAAATTATAGTTAAGTAAACCTTAAAAGTAAGAGTAATTTATATTTAACTGAGTTTTATTTAGCCTGATAGGAGACTATCAGATCACAGTGTCATGTCTGATGTTAAAATAAGCAGCACAAGGGACAGATGTTTGTCTGAGATCTGTATCATGTTGTAGTTCATTATGCAAGTTTGTGTAAACATCCAAGCAGAGCGTCCTCTGTTTGAATCAGTTAAATGGCATTACAGAAGTATTCCTGTCATTCATCTTTAGATGATTTAACACAATACTTCATTGAACTGACTCAGTTCTTTGAGGGAGTTGTTTGGTTCCTCAGATTGAGATGTGATGGCTGCTTTATTTTACTCGTGTGATGTATGCAACCTTCTGTCAATGTCCAAATCTGGGGAATGAAGAAGGGAATAGAGGAAAAAGACATTTTAAAAAAACATCCAAAACTGCAGACAGTGCCTCATACTATCAATAAAAGGGTTTTCAAAAAGTGTGGTTTGAAAGTTAGGAAGTGAAGTCACATGTTTGCAGTAACAGTCTCAGTCAGAGCGAATCTGTCTTTTAACGCCGTCTATTCTGGCCACAGCGCTTACAGTCATCTCCTGGGAGACGCCGATATGAATAGCCAGCCTTGACACTCGATAGGCCTGCTGTAATTTGGATATGTATATTTGGGCCAGCACACTGCTGCTCTGCAGCTCGAGCAGCTCCAGGAGCCCACAAAGAGGGAAGGAGTCATAAACATAAGGTTTAAGCGGGTCTGACTGTAAGTCTTTCCTCCCTTTCAAAAAGCCTTTTGAAGTGGATGCAGTGACTCACCTGGTGGATGTGAATTGGTGCACTAGACTTTGCACATGCATTTGTTTACACATTCTGTTCATGTGGGACAGGCTGGCAGCTAGGCTGGGTTTTTATTGGTGTACAAACGGTGTAATGTGTCTGAGCAAAGGGGACAGCGTTTCAGCGCTCGTACTTTGTAACGAGCTGCTGGCAGTCGAGGCTTTTAATGCGTTTTAACTATTTGGCGCTGACCTGTTAATCAGTTATATGTAGAGGTTGTTTGTGTGTTGTCTGGCAGTGTGGGCTGCTAATGTGTCGAACTATGTCAATTTTGCAGCAGTCATGAAAACAAATTCAGTTTTTCTTTCAGTGCGAGCGTTTACATATAGGTCTGTGGTTTGTTGTAGCCATCGTTCGGAATGATGCCGTTGTTAGTTGCAGTATATGAGAATGTTTGAGTAAAAAATAAGTTACCTACAAATGTGCAGAAATGTTTTAAATCAGTAGTCGTCCTTGTCTTGTTTTGTTTTAGGGAATCTACATCTCTCGAATCGCAGAGGGCGGAGCGGCACACAAAGACAGCACGCTGCGTGTGGGCGACAGGGTGATCTCTGTGAGTACTACCATCCTTCTCCATCTGGACACTGTAGTGTTGACTGTGATCAAAGCAGGGCTTTCTTTACAAACAGGAATAAGTTTAGACATGAATCCCAAACAATTAGGTATCGTTTTTGTGTTGTGAGAATAACAGCGATACAACATTTTTCCTACATCTGGTAAATGCGGCATTTACTTTTTGACATTTTTGTTGCATTTTGTTCCATTTTTGTTGTGAAACTGTGTCATTTGTGCCAGCATCACTGCTTTCATAAGTCAGTTTTAGGCTTTGTGTGACTGACATGGTGTTTCCATCCTGAGCATATGAATTAAGGTTATCTCATCAAAATCTCACACATCACGTCCATGAGTTAGTGATACGGTCCTCATATGAAAGTCATTCTCTATTTGGATTCGATGAAGATTTTTTATTTGCTTTAGTTAAATATTAAAACATTTAGCCTTTGCATGATCTTTCTTTTCATCCCACTCCAAGCTTTGCTTTGTGCTCCCGTATCTTTCTGCGTATTAGCAACTCTTCTGTCGCATGTTTTTGTCTGGTCACATGCACATTTGCACACTTTGTTATTTACTGTAAATGAACTGATGATGATCAGATCTGTTTCTTTACTGCACTTCCTGCTCTCTGTAATCACAGAAAAGCTTCCTGAATGGTCCTCTTTGCCTTCTTTCTGGGTTTCCTCTTTTCTTTCATTGGCTTCTCTTTGGTTCTCTTTTCCTCTCTCACGCTCTCCTGTTGTGCATGCTCACTAATGCATTGAGTACATCTCCTTGCCTGCTTGGTGGTGGGTATGGTGTTGGGGGTGGAGTGGGCTGAGCCTGTTGCTCTGCTGATTTTGTGGAACACGAGTTACCACAACAGCAGGGGCTGCAGTGTGTCAGCCCGTGGTAAGAGCTGGTACTGTCGGGTCTGTGCCGACCTCTGCTTGTCACTTTGGACTAGACTGCATGCCTAAAAGCTACCCCTATTTATTTGATCCTAAAACACACATAAACAGTAATGAAATGGTTAATCTGTGGTGTCTGACGACTTCTTGTTGCCTTTGTGGACTTAAGATCAATTTTGGAGAAGCTACACACTTCCACTGAAGTTTTAAGTAAACAAAGGCAAGAAGTGCTGAACTGATTACATGAAAAGATAGCAGCATGGGCATTCATGAGCTCACTTCAGGCAGTTTGACGAAAAATAGTTCTGCTTGCTTGCAGCTTTTCTCCCTCAGGGACGCTCTGCCATCTTAAATTGCCTGCAGCACCCCTCACTTTCCGTATAAGATCCTGCTGCTTTGTGTAGGTGTTTGGTTCTTCTTTAAATAACTCGCTTTGGTGCACTTGAAAAATCTCAGAATTACAAATCAGATCGGTTTAGAACTTAAACATTCAGTTTTCATTTTGGGTAATGAATGGAGAGAGCGATGAGAAACGACTGTTGGCAGGCTGGGTTTGTTGTCAAATATTCATCCTATGAGTAGCAAATGACCAGTGGGAGCGTCCTGGTGGGCTGACACCCTCCGCGGTTGGTTTTACTGTGAATCCAGATCAATGGTGTAGACATGACAGAGGCCAGGCATGACCAGGCAGTAGCGCTCCTTACCGGCACCTCCCCCACCATCGCCCTCCTGGTGGAGCGTGACTTGAATGCACCAGGGGGCTCTCCAGGTCAGACCCGGGCACGAGCCCACTCCCCTCCACCCCCAGAACCATCAGATTCTCCAGACCAGGACGAGGAAAGCCTCGGGAACCATCTGAGCCGGATGGAGGACGAGTATCCCATCGAGGTGAGAATTCGAGGACTGACTTGTGTGTCGAATAGTTTTGGTTTTTGTTTAGTCGTTTTAGTAGCCATTGCTGTAGAAACGTCATTGAAGCACTCAGTGTTAATGCTTGTTTATGTGGCCTCGCCTTATCCTTATTGCTGTCCAGTTCCAGAGAAGATGGTGTATGGTATGAAGGCTTGAGTAGTTAGTAGCTGTCAATAAAGCACTAATGGTGTTGTTAAATAGAAAGTTGTTTTTGATATTTATTAGACTATAACAGATGTAGATTTGACTTGTGATGTTTGAGTCGTCGTCTTTACATTCAGGCTTTAAATTATTTTTCAAATCTTCTGCTAAAGCCAATCTAACCTAATCCTAACAGGAAGTTACCCTGGTGAAGTCTGGAGGCCCTCTAGGCCTGAGTATTGTAGGAGGCAGCGACCATGCCAGCCACCCTTTTGGTATCAATGAACCTGGGGTGTTCATCTCAAAGGTATTACTGTAAAACAGGTGTATTCTTACACTTTCATTTCCTGAAAGTGACTGACATCTCCTGTTGCATGACTCCGTGACTTCACCTCATTTCTTCAGGTGATTCCTCATGGGTTGGCAAGTCAATGTGGGCTCCGTGTTGGCGACCGGATATTAGAGGTGAACAGCATTGACCTGCGACATGCCACACACCAGGAAGCTGTGCGGGCCTTGCTGGCCAACAAGCAGGAGATCCGTATGTTGGTACGGCGGGACCCTTCACCGCCGGGAATGCAGGAAATCATGATCCAGAAGCAGCCTGGAGAGAAACTTGGTATCAGCATTCGCGGAGGGGCCAAGGGTCATGCTGGAAATCCTTTCGACCCCACAGATGAGGGCATCTTCATCTCAAAGGTTCTTTAGCAATCCAAAGCAACACATCTTGGCACGACTCAGCTTTAATTGAGGTTATTATCAACATGAGAAATGTGAACATGCTCACATTTTTGACTGTTTTCTGCAGGTAAGTTCGACCGGCGCAGCGGCAAGGGACGGGCGACTGCAGGTTGGCATGCGAATTCTCGAGGTGAACAACCACAGCCTGCTGGGGATGACGCACACGGAGGCGGTGCGAGTGCTCCGTGCTGTCGGGGACTCTCTGGTCATGCTGGTTTGTGATGGCTTTGACCCTGGCAAAGTGGCTGCAGTGGAGGTGAGATGGCATGAACAGTCAGATTTGGATATGTACAGTTTATTATGTACAGCAGGAACTTACCAAACCTCTGATCGTTCTGTCTTTATATCAGCTAATGTATATTCCCTTTTATCATGTACCTGGCTTGAGTGTTTAAGTAGAACTATAGCTTTCAGTTAAAAACATCTCCATTTTCAAAGGTTTAAACTGTACTCTGTGTTGGTTTTCAGGCATCTCCGGGTATCATTGCCAACCCATTTGCAACCGGTATTGTGCGAAAGAACAGTATGGAGAGCATCTCTTCTATAGACCGAGACCTGAGCCCAGAGGAGATGGAAATAATACAGAAGGTGTGTTTTTACTACAAGTGTACATTTTAACTTCTATACATAAACTATATATAAAAGATGGCCACTACAACATTGATTTTTGCACTCCTTACGCTCAAAGTTTAGCGGTTTAGCTGGTGAATCTAAAAGTGAACTTATATGGATGAGAGGGCAGAGTGTTATCTGCTAAGACCACAGTCGCTCAGATCTAGAGTTGGTAGATCTGAGCGAGGTTACTGGCTTATGCCATGTGAAATCGATTTCAAAGAGGGCATTGAACAAAACCTTTAACCTTGTTGTTATCGTTTTAGTCACTACCAGATTGGTGTGGTTGCCTCTAGTTTGCATAGAAGACACACACTTGTCTCCAAATACTCCGTGATGAATAAACAGGCAATGGCGCATAATGCGCACCTACCAAATTATGCTTCCAATAGAATCATAAATTAGGATAATGAAGCAGGACATGCTTCAGATGCATTGCTACGTTATAACCATGCAGTGTCCCTCAGTTTCGACTCACTCTTTAACTCCAGCTTCCAAACATCCTGCGCCTTCACAGCAGGATTCACTAACCATCTGGTGGCAACACAGTGGCTTCATTCTTTAATATATGGTCTATGATTTGAAGTTCATTTTGCTGCTTGAGAAGCTGCAGATTTTTTCACTTGTGCATGAGCTTCATTTTTTCATTACATTGCTATCACTGATGTACTTAAGGTCAGGTACTGATGGTGTTGATTTTAACATGCAGAATGCACTTTTGAGGCTCCTTAAAGATCCAGCAGATCCACATAAGTGCAGTGCAAAGCTGGTGTACTAACCAAAGCCGCTGCCATTCAGCGCAACCTGTGAATCGGATGTTTTATTCAGCAATTCTGCCACACCAGCACAGTGCTTCCACAGCAGTTTGGTGTTAGCAAGTGGAGTTGTACAGATTTACTCATTCTGGGCATGCACGCCGCACGTACCCATCTTTCTATCGGAGCGGCCAGAATGCGCCAGCCCAGTTGTTTATTTTGTCCAGATTAGTTTTTGGGAGGCTGCCCGTTCTAAAGGAATGCAGGGTCTGCTGGTTTATTGAATGCCATGTTTCTGCTGTTTCTCTGCACACGTTTAGCCGTAACCACGTTTGCCAGGGCTTATTTACAGAAACTGAATTGCCTCTGCTGAGCTTTACATGATGAACAGTAGCTTTTAGCATTGTAAGGTTAAATGTTGGTCTTCGTCAGGAGTCTGAGATGGTGAGAGAGACATCACAGTGGGAGCGAGAAGAGATGGAGAAAGTGGTAAGTGAAATTGAAAATCATTTGTTTTGGGAAAGGTAGAGAGCAGATTGATGAAGATGAATCAATGCAAGAAAACTCAGTTTTTCTGTGGCAGTATAGCTGAAAAGAAATTATACTGGGTCTGCAGGGTGGAGTTAGAGTCACATCCTCACGTTTGCCTGTTACCGGGTGAATGAAGCTTCCCCTCTGCACCCTGTGTGGGCATCATGTTTGACAGAACTGTTCCTGCAATGTCCCACCTTGCATGCTTTTTCTGCTCCTATAGCCGATGAATAGAATACTTTTTAATGTGTGTGGGTTCTATCCTTTCTTTCCCTTCTGTTTCTTTTTTTCACCTATCCTCTACCTTTGGTGCGTTATGTATGATCCAAAATCATCCAATCATTCCATCTCCATACCACTTTCCTCACTGTTGTTTCTCTTCTCTCTAACACTACTTTCCTCGTCTTCCTCTTTATTTCAACCCTCATCGCATTACTGTGTGGCTGTGTGTGACTGTGTGTCTTCCCCTCTGTACTTCTCCTCTTCCTCCCCTTCCTCTCTTGGTGAAGGAGCGAATGCGCTTGGAGCGTGAGGAGGCAACTCGCCTGCTAGAAGAGGAGACTGAGGTGAGATACTCCTCATCAGCAGGTCCTCGGGTGAACTTCCTGTCTGCAGTTTAGACACAAATGCTAAATAAATGTGTCTTAAACTTTTATACATTTTCTTTTTTTAAGGGACCCACTTTAAATTGGAATAGTTGTGCTGGAGGTGCCCTGATAAGTGTCCACCTGCAAATGTAACCAAACAAAGGGTACAAACACTTAAATCATAATTGAAGCAGCTCCTAAAGGAAAAAAGAGGAAATTCCCAGTCTTCTTTTTGACTTTTAGTTTCAATTTTTAAAAAATTTAAATCCTTAAAAACAACTCAATCTCATGGAAAAACCACCCTTAGATTTATGAAACGTTCACATTTATACATTTAGAGTCAGGAGTTCCAGATCAGTGCAGGTGATTTAAAAACCCTGGAATTAGGCTTATTAAACCTCATCTGAGTTCTGGATTTCTCTTTGCTCTTCAGCATCTTTAAAAAAGCGCTTTAAAAAAAGATCTCTAAACATTTAAACTAAAGCGTTTCACTTTAAGGAAAATCTACTGTGAGTGAGGTCAAATACTGACTGTGAAGCACTTTTTGGTATGAGGGACTGAGCAGCCGTTGCCCACTCATTAAATTGAACTCTAGGTAAGGTAAATGACTTTAATCACACTGGAAATCCAACACGAAATGTCTCAGAAAGAAGAGATGTAGTGTTATGAAAGGAAAAAAAAAAGTATTGCTATAAAAAAAGCAAATTTAATGGAAATAAAACTCCTATACGAAGCTGTTTCAGCTCTAAAAGGCTGATGCTAGTCTGAGGGTTGCTACCTTTTTCCGCAGAAGGATATTATAGCTGTTAACATTATTTGTGGAGCTGTGCTATTTCACGTACTGATCAAACCACAGATTTGAAGGCTTATTTAAGCTTTATAAAACTTTTACAGCTGCTATTTCAGCTGAACATATTTGATCGTCTAGTCTACATATAATGATAGATTATGCAACAACCCTGAGGTTTCCTTTGATATTAGACATCAATTACATGTGTTTAAATTGTCGTGCACAGCTGGAAAACTTTTAAGACTATAGAGTAGGAAAATCACTCACAGTGAGACGTACAGAAAGTGCCAGTATTGATCTTTCGCTTGATTTCTTGTATTTGTTATGTGACCACCTGCTCTTTGTAAACTAAACTTCAGTGCAGACCGTCTTACCTCTGGGTCTGTTTATTTCCCATCAGAGCATTGGCACTGGACCGCTAAAGCTCGACTACAAAACGCTAGCTGCGCTGCCCACCACGAGTCTGCAGAAGGTCAGCAGGGTGAGTTTTACTTCATGTTTGTCTGATTTTTACTTTTCAGAGTTTGAAAAAAAGAAAGCAGTCTTCTTGAGTCAGCATTTTGGGAGCGGCCCATGCAGGAAGTCTCTTTAAAAGCTCAGAATAGACCCAGCGTCAGTCAGCTGGACCTCTATGAGAACTTAACACCTCCATGATCTTCACCGCAAGTCAACATTGCTGAAGACTAAACCTTGACTGCACAACACACAACAAGAGCAGAAGTAAATGAAGAGTCTTACGGGAAGACTAAAGTAATCCGGGAAGAATCACAAATGAAAGACTAAAAGAAAAAAGTGCAGAAGATTTTGGGAATGGAAGAAGGCAAAGCCCGAAGTCAGTCTTTGTATTCTGCAAGTGCGAGAGGGGGAGCTGGTGAGATACTGGAAAGGGGACAGCTGTCCACTATCAACTGGCCTATCTGTGATATTTTAAACCAGCATCTGGTTCTGAATTGGATGGAGTCTCCCGGGTGGGTGGGATGCTGGCGGACGGGGGGTGTCGCCTAAGAGGAAAAGACAAGTGTTTCGGTTTGAGTTCCCAGTCTTAAGGGGAATACGTTTGAGTGAACATAGAGCTCTGTGCTTTTACCGTCCTACAGTGAGTATAACGAGTTTAACTGGAGGAAGTTTAAAGATTTAAAGCGACTCTGTTTTCTGTTTTTTCTGAGTCTTTCTGTCCTGTCTGTTCTCTCGTCAGTCTTATTTTAATCCAATTTTGTCTGTAATATGGTTGTTTAAAAACATTTTTTAAACAGCAAATGTTAAATAATTTGCATTAATAATGCAGCTATGTGTGAAAGTTGTAAATTAGCAGCAGTACAGGCTTTTTCTCAGTAACCTGTGAGAGTAGAACTTAACCTACATATTGTCTGCAGCTGTTCCTGCTCTGTGTGCTAGAGCTGCTCTGCACACGTGGTCCTGTTCAGACTGTACTGTAAGAACAGCTTGTTGGTTAGTTACACTCATAGTGGACCAATATTTTAAATTGAAGGGGTTAGCATCTCATAAGCCCTGATTTTGATGGTGAAACACAAGTGGGTGTGCTTCATAGCACCGCTTTGTTGTAAAAATGTTTCAACAAAAGAACAGGTGCTGCTTAAATATTAGTGATACAAGATGTGATTTATAAGAAGTTGAGATTCAGACCTGAGAGCAACCTGCTAAACTGCCAATAGATAAATGTATAGAGGGCCTTGTTTTATTGGAACTGAGTGTGAAGACAGGGTTGTATTTCCCATTTGTTGGTGTTTAAATCAACCTCTCTCTACTGTTTCTTCATAATAAAACCTTTCTAAAATAAAAATAAAAAGGGTGGTTTAACCAAATTCCTAGAATTTTCCAAGAAGTTCATCCCGATTTTTAACTCAGGTTTACAAAGGTTGAATTTTGACGTTTATATTTGACATCAATTTTTTGTGATGTTGCCTAACGTATCCTATTAACGGCCCTAACCGATCCAAATTTTTAGAGTAGGGAAAACTAGTAGTGTTGTACTCCAGAAATTCCTGACTAAAAATGTGTTAGACCCATTCAGATGTCATTTAAGATAATCTGATACTTTCTGTTAGTAAAACTTTTTATTGGTAAATATGTATTTGGTTTTTAAGGACATCCCAAATCCTGATTAATGGAGCTATCATTTAATTTTACACAGAAAACATTTTCCATAAATTTTGTTCTGGCACTTCAGACTCTGCTTTCTGTTACTGATTCATGGCATTCACTTAAAGCCGTGACTGAAGTGTTTAAACGCTTCAGTTCCCAGGTTGCTTTGGACTTCCCAGACAGCTCAGCGCGTTGGCATGCCGGCGAACGAGCAGCCTGACTTTGCTCTGTCACAGCCGGGCCCCAGCTGTCCCTCGCAGTCGGTGTCGGTGCCAAAAGGGCACTCGTTCACATTCCACCTCGCTGATCCTCATCGCAGCGCAGACTCTGACAGTACAGAGCTGCCTTGCTGCTTCACAATGCTCGCTGTATTCTTAGTGTGGCTATTTCGATTATCACCAGACATGTCAAGGCCATGTGGGATAAATTCCACTGCAGTTTGTCTGAACTGACCAGAAGATTTTTAACGATTTTAAGGTCTTAAGTATGTGAAACAGAACATGGCCGAGATTCGGTTTCAGAGTAAACGTTGGTTTAAAAGCTGCGTATTCTCTCAGCTGTGACACGAGCAGTAGTCGTCACTGTTAAGTACAGGAGGAGCTGAAGGTGTGCTGGAGCCCGAATGTCTCACTGGTCTGATAATGTTTATTTAAAGCACATGCTAGGAGTGTGGGCTGCGGCGAGTCTTGAATGATGGCCGCTGGGAAACGTATCTTAAAGGCTTCGGGAAAGATTTAGTGAGGCGAGGGACTCTTTTTTTTAGCACCAAGACGCTTCTCTGTCGAGCTCATCTCACGTTTTAGAGAATGTATCAGATACTACATGAATGTACGTATTCAGTGTCCACATATTGTATTGATTGTACTTAATTAGTTTCAAGCTGACCCTAAAAAGCGAGTTTTAGTATCTTTATTAATTTTTTTTGTGGTCATAATGTTAAAATATTTTGATGACAAATGAGTCATTCATGCAACCTTCTATTTAAGCACAATGAATATAATATATATCTCATTACACAAGCAGAAAATTATGTGTTTCTTTGTGTTTTCATTCAGTTTACTCTTCTAACGACTGGCCCGTTGGGTCATTCACCATAAACAGCATCTTCATCCAGTTCTTTCTAACAATGAGTTCAGGATCAAAAGCAGGGCTTAAATGACTAAGCCCTAATCCAAAGTCCTTTTAGGGTTTAATAGCAAATATTTAATAGAAAAATCTATTTGATTGGCGGCTTTAAGGGTTAGAATTGATCAATATAAGTGCATCTTATCCTGTAAGTTTAATCCTATCAAAAGTTACGCATTTAAAATTTAAAAAACTGGCATTTTTATTATTGTTTATAAACCAGTCATGACCCATCTGGTGTACCTGTAACTGGGAGATTAATCTGTAATATTTTGAAAATAATAGTTGAAGTCCTACAAACAGGCCACTAATGTTTTTTATGGAGCTGTTAAGTTGGCACTTCTATTGGAGGGAAATTAAAGATGAAGAGAAGATCATTGCACTTCCAGTACCTGCAAAAACCAGTTAGCCTGGGGGGGGGGGGGGTGTTCAGTGAGTGTACCTGAGATCACATACAGTTAAAGTTTTAGAGTTACAAATTTAGTTTTCTGCTGTTGAAATTGGTGCCCCTTGGTCTCTGCAGTAACTTTAGTGAGAACAGCCAAACCTGTGAGGAGGGAATTGAGGTGGTAATCAACTTGTTTTGTCGTTTAATCTAACTGAGAGCAGCTTCCTTTCTTCTCTGTATTCTGGAGTTCCTGTCACTGGTTTACTGTCTGTCTGTCCCCCTCTTTCCTCTGCTGCTGTGCAGTTTTCTGTCACTCTGACTGATCCTATGGAGGCCCCCGTGCAGGCCCAGTACACAGCTCCTTTAAAGCCCCTAGGCTTTGGTTTAGATGAACCCTCTAAGTCCCTCAGCCACTTGGACCCTGAGTCCAGCTCCAGTCTGAACTCAGACCCCAGCTATCTTCAAGGATCCCATTTCTCCCCTGATGGGACCTCCACCCCCCAGAGTACTGGCTCCACGACACCTCTTAATTCATCCCTTGCACCTGAAGAAGAGGAGTGCCTGGTGGACTCTCAGTCGATTTGCTTCAGCGAGAACCCTTTCTTGGTGGCTAATCGCAGAGGAAAAGGTCTTCCTCCTGGAGAGCAGATCCTGTCGGGGCCTCCGGTGGGCTACGGCAGACAGGGGCAGCTGCAGCCCTGGCTGTTCAGCAAGGCAAGAGAGACGCCCGCCTGAGTGTGGTGTGGAGGCAGCATGGTGTGTTAACAGAAAGCTGCACTCTGAGATAAATACTCTCAGTTGGATGATTCATGTGAAAGAATTTTTTTTCTCTCTAGGACGCTCTTTGGCCAATTCATTCATATTAATCCTGTTTTAATAATAACCAGCTGAACAGTTGCATGTTTTTACTGTGAGCACAGAGCTTGTGGCACCTCGTGAGGTATTTGTGAGTCTGTGATGAGGATCGACTGGAATGTCTGAGCCGACAGCTGTGAGGAGGAGGAGGGTCACGAAGGAGCACGGCACAGAAAAGCGCATGTTTAGGGAGGCGTAAATTCACAGCTGGACTAAACAGTTTTTTGTTTTTGTTTTGTTTTCTGCTCTGTGTTTTCAGTGAAACTGAGCGGCTGTTAAATTTGTGTCCTTACTTTTTGTTTTTCCAGGCGCCTTCCTCTGATTTCACCAGGACGGAAAGCCCAATCAGGGAAGCCCCTTACTCTCCTACTATCCAACCGGTAAGCGGCTCTTAAACCCAGCTCTTCTATTATTTATCGCCTGCTCTCATACCAATTTTTTTAATTTATTTATTTTTTTATCCCTTTTCCATGAGTCACTTGTAGCTCTTTAGAGGAGGTATTTGACACTTTGACCTCTCCTCCCACCCTTAGCCCAGCCACCACTCCTCCAACAGCTCCCTGTGTGCAGGCAGGGAGACCCGCTTCGTAAGTGGGGCATGCGGCCCTTTCAGCGCTGGCCTGGATTTCTTTTTTAGCTCACGCTGCTCTGAGCTCTCTGACAGTAAAACATAACTAGCTGAGTGGTCTGAAAAGCATGTGACTGCTTCTCCGCAGCCAGCTGATTACTCATGGTTTGCCTCATGCAGACTGGAGAAATAGATCTACTGACCAGCTATGGCTTAATATCTTCTCACTGGGTGATCGTTTTTGTTCCCCCCTTGAGCTTTATCAATCTGCGTTGCATATTACGACCGCTGTCCCACATTTGGTGATCATATTAGCTCAAGGTAAACTCTGGTAGCTTCGAGTTTTCTGAAGAGTGTCTTTATGTGGCCTGGCATCATCCTAAAAAAGCCCCTTAAGTTTACATTTAGTGATTTTATTCACTGTGCTGCTGATCCATGCATTTCTGTGTCATTGTCATGGCTTTGTTTTAATTTTCGTTGCAGGCAAATATTCATTACACCTCCACTCCCACTGTCAAGGACAACCCCTCATCATCAGTGAGTGTCTCCAGAGCTCAGAAATAGCTGTTTTAGGATGATGTATTTTGCAGTATAAGAGTAGAGTCCAGTTTGTGTCCGTTTAACCACATATATGAAGCTATTTATGGTCTTGTATTTGATAGCCTACTGGTTACTATACAGGTGGGTGCTAAAGTGATGGAATTATTTCCCAGGAACAGTTAAATAAAGTCTAAAATCTAAACATATATATTTCATACATACAGTCTAGCCAGTATAGTAATGCATGCTAAAGTGCTAAACAGACCCTTAAAGTCTCTTTAGGTGGTCAGAATTGCCATGCCTGAAGTAGCTCTGGAGGAGGCGGAGCTTGATGTTAATTATGTTCTATAAAATCTGCAGACATGCTCAGATGTATTTCACTCATCAACTCCACCCACTTTTCATTCATTCTAATTAAACTTCATCAACTCAAGCAACAGTTCACTTATATTTTACTATCAATATTTGTTTTCCTTCCAGACGCGACCAGGTGCCATCCAGCCAGTGGGGCGTGTTCGGCCCAGCAACTCGCCCGCCACACCAGACGGCCACAGCCCCAACCCCTTTCAGCATGGCCCCTCCCCCTTCAACTCCCAGACCTCTGTAAGACCCCTCACCACCACGTAGGGCTGTTCTCTCTCTCTCTGCTGTTGGCGTCCGTGCCACATGCTGTGACCATACAGCCTAAAAAATAATGATAGTAATAATACTAAAAAAGTGCAGCAGTTACAGGTAATTATGGCACACAAATGAGGTTCCAAAGAAGTTAAAACCAAATCTGAAGTGTTTGAGTGCACAGGGGGGCTGAGTGTGTTCAGCCTTGGGCACATCTTGAGCTTGTAATTATTTGAGCTCTACCTGAAGACTCGACCCAGGATAACTCCTAAAAGTTAACCGCCTCGCTCATTTCATTCTATCGGCAAGTAGCTCAAGTGGATCAGAAAATACTGATGAACCTATGATTTCATCTCACGTCTTCCTGATTGTTTTATAAAGTTGCTCATTGACGGGAGAAATCTTCCATTGCTTTGAACTCTCCAAGCCCTACTGTCTGTCTTTTTTGGCATACTCCCTCCTCTCTCACATGAAACCAGCTGCCATGCTCTTCACCTGTTCTCCTCCACAGTCTTCTTCAACGTTGCTGGTTTTTTTCATAGTCTGTCCTCTCGTCCATGTCTCCGTCTGTCTGTCCTCCCCCCCGCCTCCTTTACCATATCGACCTCTCCCACCCTCCCTCCGTGACCCCCTCCCCACGCTGCAGCCTCGCGCCCCCTCCCCCTCCTCGCCCGACGAGTTTCCCATGAATGTCAAGCAGGCATACAAGGCGTTTGCCGCCGTGCCTCGCTCACTGGCAGTGCTGGAGCCGCCGCAGGTAGGCCGTGCTGTCCGGACTCAACCGGGTCACTACAACAACACAAGCATGCTGTGCTGCCTGGTTGGTCTCGTGCCGCATCCTCCTGACTGGAGCAGGCTGCGCTAAGTGAAGCCTGCGCCTTGTTGGGGGGGGCCTGTGACGTGCTGTGACGTGTGGAATGCCTTCGTTGCCATCATCTGTCATATTGGTGTTGACTCTCGATCCATCCATCCGTTCATGTGTGGCTCGTGTACCAATATTCAGTCACATTTATTTAAAAATATATTACACCCCTGTGCAATATCGCTTAAATGTCAAATGATTAAAAAGTGCATTGTCTCTGTCCTTTAGCAAAGTAGTTTTTCATCCCTGACTGATTGCCTCCCTGAGCCTGGTTGTGTTGGAAATTTCTCCGCTTGCTCATAGGTGGTCTATCAGCGCCTTATAGGTCATATGATTGTTGGGGTTTTGTCTGTTTTCTTTGTATTATTGGAGGGTCTTTAACACCTTGAGGCAACTATTGTTGTGATGTGATGCTATATAAATTAAATTGAAATTAACTGAATAGTTTTTGCCAGTTGTGGTTTGCAAACTAAATTAATATAAATATATATTGTAACATTAGTGATGAATTGTACATAGAGATGGTTTATTACCCAGCAGGGTGCTTCATAAAGTGCCTCATGGGATGAAGGTCACCCAAACTTGGTCTTCTTGAAACTATGTAGCATAATTAACCTAACATGCAAACACTAAATGTCAACAAAAGAGCACACATTGAACGCAGTTATAAGGCTGCTGTTCAGTACTCAGTTGAACTGTTAAATGTACAAATGTACACGATTGTGGGATTTTTATAAAACATTTTCTGTAGTTTCTGTCTGTATTTAGAAATCGGCTGACAGTTATTTGCAAACCTTCACCAGACTTTGTGACTATAGCAATTGTTCTGGAGACAAGTTGCCTCCCACCAGGGCCTAGTGGGAGGCAACCTGTGGCATCACCTTGTGATCAAAGTGGACAACAAGGTTTTCACTTCCTTAAAAATCCCAGGTGTGCTGAGTTCTGTCTCAGCGATCACACTCTACTGTGTTTGTTTTTCATTGTTCATCTTATTAGCAACGTAGTTACACTTTTCAATCATTTGACGTGATATTGCAGGGGGGTGTGCTGACTCCTGTACGTCCTGTGTATCTGTTAATCGGTCTGCCTGTCCTCTGTAGTCATTTCAGTCCTGAGTCATTTTTGTGTCCTTCATGTTGCTAACACTCATTTCTTGCACTACCAACAGGACCTTTATGGCACAAGGAACAACTTCCAACCAAAGCAACCTTCTCCAGAGGTGAGTAAACATATCACAGGTGTCTGCTGTACCACGTTGACCAGAAAATAAAGACAGCAGTTGTTTCTAGACATTTAGTTTCTAAAAGTCCCCCTCTACAGTTTCATTATATTTGGGTCAATATGGTGTTTAAGATGTGAGTATTGAAGCTGTAGCTTTGCACATCTGCTCAAAGCGTGCTGCACTGATCATCTGGTGATGACCTGTGTGGCCTTTTCAGCCTGATTTGAACAACGAGGTGTTTGATGACACCGATGGTCGGGAGGGAGCTGGCGAGGGTCTGACCGGCAAGGTCTCCCCTCGGCAACCCCTCTTATCAGACCGTCGTGAGTATATGAGCTTTGCAGCAGTGCCGCGCCGCTCCACGCCTTCCATGGACCTGCAGGTACCCACCGCCTCCAACACAGCTAGAGCATCCCTGTGCTCATGTGCTTGGCTTGACCGGTGGTGGGGTCTGTGCTCCTACAGGTTGGAGACAACTATGCTACTTCTGTCAGGAATTGGGAGCGTCAGTTATTTGATGTGATGCAGCTTAATGGTGCTGGGTAATATTTTATGGCTGTTCTTTTTTCGTCCTCCTTGGTCTGAGATGCTTTTCTTGCATCTTTAACGACATCTTTTGACCTTCTTGCGAATGTCTCTGCAGCTTTAATTAGTCGGAATTAGTGCTGCGAGGACTTTCTATGTGTAGATGATCCTGCATTTAACATCTTCCCAGACACCAGAGTTTTTTTTTTTTGTTTGTTTTGTTTTCCTTGTGCTTTTGCGTTATCACAGAAAACGAACTCTAACATTTGTTCTGTTCAGCAGTAGGGCTGTGCGATATGACCAAAATCTCATATCCCGATATAAGAATTCTGTCGTCTGATAACGATATAAATCACAAAAATGTAACATTTTCTGTAAATTCTGTGAATCTTGGGCAGCTCGACTTGCGGGAAGTGTTTCCAGCTGCGCGTCATGTAGCTGGAGTCGAGTGTTTTAACCGATGCATGAAACTATACATTTTTTTTGACATAAGTTGTAACGGCCGCCGTTTTCTTTGTGAGTATTTATTACACGGCGTGCTGCGGGGAAAAGCCTGTTCTAACGTTTGAGTCTAAGGTCTAATTTTTAGCACCTGGCGGCTTTTTTAAAATTCTCATCCGTAAATAATCTGCTCTTTCACGTGATTTAGTTTATTTTGAAAAGCCTCAACGGGATCTTGAGCTTTATTGTGAAAGGTTTATGTGGAACATAAACAAGCGGACACGCGATGCTGTTACCGTCGTTGTTGCTAACGACAACGCATAAAAACAGGCGCTTGTCTGTCCGTAGTGTGGTTATATATAAGAGAAAGAGAGAACTTTACGAAATGAATATAGCCACTACAGTGATCATCAAAACGATGAAAAAATATTGCCGTAAAAAGTTTATTTTGCGACACCACCAAACAAACGATAGCGTAAAATGAAACGATAGACGTTTTTATATCGTCATCCGATATATATCGTTATATCGAACAGCCCTATTCAGCGGGATAATTTTCCACAAGTTGACACCACTGTTATGATTTTGAAGCATAAATGCAATTGCAACAACTTAAAGTGCCAACACGGGGTGGAAGAGAACTAAACCACAGCTGCATGACCTGAATTTCACCACAATCACTAACCTCCTGTGTTCATTGTAATAACTTTAAAAGTTCTTGTCGTCTCATTTAGCCACTTCTCTGTGGGATATTTACTGGGGTGTTGTATATTTTAGAATAAAATCTGTGGAACTGTGACGTTAACCAGACATCTTATTTCAAGCATCTAACCAAAAACCTTTTATAGATTTAGAGACGAAGGAACCTGATGTGCAACAATGCTGACTCGTGCAGACTTCAGCATTCAATCTGCAGCACTATACGAATGTTATTATAATATAATTGCTTTTTCAGTAGGGAAAAATGCAAGCGCTCTAATTTCAGCATTTATCGCTTCTAATTTTGTTCATTTTGTCCTGATTTTGATGCCACAGAGCCCAGTATTTGGTGGTAAGCACAGCCCAGAGCAGCGCTCTTTCAGGGATAGACAGAAGTACTTTGAGATCGACGTGAAGCAACAGACGCCAGAAAAACCCAAGCCTCGAGTCTCCCTCGTCGGGGAGGATGACCTCAAGAAGATGAGGGAGGAAGAAGGTTTGTTTCCTGAGTGTCCTTCTTAGCCACATGCAGCTAAGGAATGTGTTCAAATCAGTGGAGTGTGTTTACATGATAATCTGTTACCAGAGAGGAAGTTTGAGCAGCGAGCGCGGGAGTACTTACTGGATGATGACGACGAGGATGAGGATGAGGAGGACCTGGCCAAGCAGGTGGCACAGATGAAGGCCACCGGAAAGGTGTTGCTGGATGGAGTGGAGTACAAAGTGGAGCCGGTGTCCACCCCATCGCAGCACTGCTCCACACCGCCAAACTACAGCTCAGGGTGAGAAGCTGTGTTAGACGAATCTATTTTTCTTTACACTTTCTTCCGCACACTGAAGACTAATTGTTCGTTTTGCATGAAGGCCTTCTTCAGTAGATGGCAAGGGAGACTCTCAGAGGAATTCATTGGAGGACAGCTTCAGGCTGGAGCAGAGGCCCAACTCAATGACTGGGTAATTACAACACACAGGACAACATGTTTACCTGCTGTTAGCCACTGATCACACTCCTCGCATCATCCTCCCAGTGCGGTGGTCAGTTTAAGCTGCAGAATTTTCAATTTCTCCCTCTGATGACTGAGTGGGTTCAGAGTTCAAAGCCTAGAAACCAAACTAACTGCACCCATCTATCCCATCAGTCTCGTCCCAGCCTACCCCGGGGAGTCAGCAGCTCCCATCCGAACAGCCAAAGCAGAGCGCAGACACCAAGAGAGACTTCGTATGCAGAGCCCCGAGCTGGCCGTGGCACCTGACAAGGACCTGTCCCCTGCAGAGAAACGAGCCCTGGAAGCCGAGAAGAGAGCAATGTGGAGGGCAGCACGGTAATACAACCATGCCACACGTTAAGCAAGGATAATAAAATAAGTAGAATGTAATGCTTTCAGGGCTAAACCTCGATTTGTGGATTTATTTCAGCAGTTTTTGAGTAACAGGAGACTTAACTTGGATGGTAACTTTGGAAGACGGCAGCATCCACACGCAAAGAAAAATGCGTACCGAAGGAAACCAAGGATCAGACCAGACTTTTATAGTTGCAAATTCTTTAGGGTTAGAGACACTTCTGTCCCACGTTTCCTGTTACAGTTTGTCAAGCTAGTAAATAAAAGGCTTCAAGAAGTTACTTTATGTCAAAGCAAACGTAAATTCTCGGTAGATTTAGTTTAGTGACTATCCTGCGTGTGTGGTCTGTCTCTGTCTCACTGTTACTGTGTCTAAAAATTGTCTTATTTATCATTTCTGGCTCTCCTACTTATATTGGTGTTTTACCTTCCATTCTTTGGTTTTCTTCTCTTTGTCTGTGTGCCTTTCTTCCTGTCCTCCACATTCCTCCGTCATCCTGGCGTACACTTTTTTTATTCCACTCCCTCCCTCTCTCTGTGACCTTGTGGGGCACAGGCCCTATGGCCTAGAGGAGGATGTTAGGCAGTATGAGCAGGACCTGGCTAAGAGGCTCTACCAGGCCCGAGTGAGGGCATCTCAGGGCACGGCCGCGGCACCCCAGCCCCCCACTTCCTCCTCTACCTCCTCCTCTGCAGCCTCCCAGCTCAGGTCTGCTCCTCGGCCCCGGCCGCCAGGGCCAGATGCACGGCATCGTGGGGTTGTGCTGGGGTGCTTTGATATTTGGGGTACTTTGCTAGAGGCCGAGTTCGGAAAGGTCCAAGCAAGCACTCGCAGCAACACTGACAGTGCTTCCGCTGCCTTTCCAGTGCCGTACTGCTTCTGCACGTCTCTGCTGTTTCCCATCTCCAGCTCCTTTTGGTTCCCGCCTCTCTTTTCTTTTCTCTGTCTTGTCTTCCACCCTCGTTCTGCAGAACTCTTCGTTTTCATTTGTGCCTTGCTGTTCTTTTTGTACTGTTACTAACACGCGATCCGCAGTAAGTACGCAAGCTTTCTGTGAGCTGAGGGTACGCCTACTAGCAGTAGGTGGTCCCTTTTCCTGGAGTGCATCCTTAATTTTTGCTTTGAAATTACATTTATTTTATTTTATTTTTTTTAATCCCAGCAAACCAGGACAAGGAACACCCCAAAAATAGCAGTGATTGGCCTGCACCCACCCGTAGTGGTGTGCATATATGTGTGTGAGAGAGAGACGGTGTCAGTTTTTTGTCTCCCTATTTCTGTAAAAGTTGGACTTTGAATATTTTTTTGATTGCGGTCGTTCCTCCTGCAGAATGAAGTCTCTGGAGCAGGATGCACTGAAGGCTCAGATGGTCATCGCCAAGTCTCGGGACGGGAAGAAACGTGGGACACTAGATCAACTGACAGAGTCACCCTCGCCTGCACCAACACCCTCTCCCACTCCTATGGAGGGTAAGAAGCTGCTGCTAAAGGAAACTGTGTTTGTCTTTTCACCTAAAAAGCTCATTTTCCACCCTTTTTTTCTACCTGCTCAAGTACATTTCTTTGTCTGTTTAGCAGAGCTCAGTCCTCGAGGATTAACCTCGCCCGGCAGGCTGGTAAGATTTAATCCTGAATTTCAGTTTCTTATTGACTGATTTAATTGTTGTTTTTTCCCCCACTTGCTAGTTTGTACTGACTTGGAGAGCTTGAGTCATCATAATATTTAAAAAAAAAAAAGCTGTAACACTTACTTTACAGTGTGATTTAATTGAATAAAGGAAACCGTCAGGCTCGTTTGTTCACAAGCTGGAAGAGGTACATTTGCATCAAAATACATTGACATGAATCCACCATCTTGCTCATTGCCACTCTATCCAATCAGAGCTGAAAACACACACACTGCTCTCCCATCAATGCCACAGCTGGCTGTTTAAATCACCCATTTGCCTCTCTGCCCTCCACTCTCCCTCTTCCATTTTATTCTGTCTTTTCCTCTTATTCCCTGACTTTTTCCCCTCTTCCGCTGTGTTTTCTCCTTTCTATACTTTGTCCCACTTCCTCCATTTTCCTCTCTTTTGTTTCCCTTATTTCCCCTCTTCTCCCTCTGCTCATTCCTGTTTGCTATCCTTCTAGTCCGTGTCAACAAAGAAGTTTGACTACCGACAGTTTGCTGCCATTCCTTCTTCCAAACCCGTATACGACATCCAGGTATTGGCTGCATGCCGATCTCCGGAGGCATCAAGCCTCCTCCTCCTCCCTCCCTCCCTTCCCTGGCTTTCCCGTGCTGCCTCTTCCGTCTAGTTTCTGTTAATCCGGAGGCCTCCCTGTGACTGCAGTCTAGGTTGTCGCTCAGTCATCGATCCGTGCTCTCTCTCCTATTCGTGGTGTGGCTCACTAACTCTCACCTGCACAATGAAGGCGGACTTTTAATCTAAATAACAGCACACCACATCAGCCTCCCTCCCTCCCTTCCTGCCTCACACCTGTGACTCACAAATGTAACAGCATCTTTAGCTGTATCCATTCACATCTATCTATCTCGCAGCCAACTAATCGGTCGCAAACATTAACGCTCAGCAGCTGCTGGGATGCAGAGAGGTCTTTGATCCCACTAACCTGGGTGGAAAACTCTGTATCTTATTCACTCTCACACTCACTGCCATCAGTTGTCTTGTTCCACGCATGGGTTGAACATCATGCAGAAGAATGACATGTCCTTCTTGACATTTCCTCTCATCTGCGCTCATCTCATCTCATCCGCTGATCTTCTGTGCTCTCAAGAGGATAACGGTTCCGTTTGTATCCGTCTGTTTGGGGAAGAGTTAATTTCCTCCCGTGTGGAGGAAGAGAGGGGAGAAGCAGGGGAATCTTGGTGTAGAGGTGGAGCAGCAGCGCTTGTTTGCAAGTGGTCGTTTATTTCTGAGTCGAATATCCGTCGTCTGTGACACCGCTGTCTGGGATTCTGGGATATTTATGGATATTACAAAAATTTTCAGTTTGTTTGTTTCCTGCACGGTCGTTTAAGCCTTCGGGGGTTTCCAAACCTATCTTCAATCTTCACAGAGAACAAATTATTCGCAGTTGTAGTTATTCCTTGACTTTATAGTGGCTGTGAACTGAACCCTCCACTGCAGTATATAATATATATATACTTAATATAAAGCAAATTCCAATTTTGAAGTGTCAGGCAATGATTTTTACCTTTTTTGAAACAAGATGTCACAGATGAGGGTTGGATCTGACAGGCCTATGCTCCCCACGTGCTCAGTGAGACTTTGCTGCCCACGACCTTGCAGACTAGGAACACCCGACAATAGCTGCAGTTTTAGAGATCCTCTGACCCAGTCGGTTAGCCAGCAAAATTTTGTCCTTTCAAACTCAAATCCTTACATTTGCCCATCTTTCCTGCTTCTATATCATAATGTTATCTCTGATCAGTGTATACTGTCTTCGATCCCTGCAGACAAATTCAGTAGCTTTTAAAATGAAATTTACATGATGTCTACGTCGCAGCTGTATTTAAGTCAAGCGTATTATCCGGCCGAACAGAAGAATGCGTTGTACACTGATTGGTTGAGTCCCCCGCCTCCTAAAGTGGAGTGGAGATATAAAGGGAAGCCTTCACAGCTCGTATCATGGAATAACTCCAACCACAGCTAAGTCTGTGTTTGTGCATCATCTGAAAAACGTCTGAGCCTGTCATGTGTGTCGGCTTCAGTTGAGTGACACATTAAATTCTTTGTGTAGAGTGAATAAATAGATAATTCACTTCCAAGCATGATCAATTTAATTCAAATTAAGCAACAGATGACTCCTTACAGTTCTGCTTGTTTTTTTTCTTTGTTTTTTTCCCCGTTGTGCATCGATGCATTAGTGCTGTTTCTCTGTTTGTCCTCTCTTTTGTGGGTGTGTCCACCTGACACAAGAAACCTCGACGCCAATGACTTAATCGGCGCCCTCTTCTTTAACACGCCCGTTTCTCCTGGGGGGAGTAGTTGAGTAGATGTACTCTGGCTTTGTGGCTCTGACAGATTAGGAGCTTCAGTGCTGCCTGCTAAACTGCAGAGAGCAGCTGACATGTTTCCTGACAGTCTCCTACCTTGCCAGCCCCACTACTCACCTGGTGAAGGCTTCCCCTGGGCTACACGCTATTAAACCCCAGAGTCAGTCCCTGTTAATAAGAGTCTCTTTTTATTTCTTTCAGTCCCCAGACACAACTGACACAGACTTAAAGTTCATTGATGACGGCTCCAGTAACCCAGGTACGTGGTGCTGATTGTTATGCCCTGAACTGTACCAGAAACCTCATTTATTTGTATGCATGGGCTTCTTCCTGTTTCTGACTTTCAAAATAAAAGTCTTTGACACAGAGTGCAACTACTGTAGTAGCGGGAATTCTTGCTGATAAACAATGAAAAAAAGAGCTTATGTCAAAAAAATTTGGCAGATAACAAGATTTTAAAAAGTCTCGTCTTTGGATTTACTTCTAAGAAGAAAACTAAAATTTTAGAAAATAACTTCAAATAAGTAAAAATATTGAAACAATAACTCCAAACTTTTACTTATGAAACACAAAATGATTGTTTTCAGTGTCAGAAACAAGCTGCCTAACCAGTGTATTGAGCCACAGTAAGAAATCAGCTGTAAGATAAAAGCAGACTTCTTTGAGGTATCAAGCAAAATATATAGTTTTTATTTCTGTATAACAAAGATATTGATGTGACTAGGGATGGGTACCGGTGTTCTGACATAAACGGTAGTAACCAGACCGAAAAGCAGCACACATTTCGGTGCTTTTTTTTCCTGAGCTGATTCTAGCCAATCATTTTACGTTTCCGAGGATAGTGGGCGGGGCCAGGTACGTACGTTCTTTTAGAGCAGAGCTACAGATTAAAAATGTCCAAGGCGAAGCGGTCAAAAGTCTGGCTGTACTTCACAGCAAAATATGCAAACTCAGCAGCCTGCAACAAGTGCTTTAAGCTGATACTGTGATACTGTCAAAGGAGGTAACACCTCAAATCTGATGAAACACCTGGCGAAGCATAGCGTTTTTTTTTTGTTTTTTTTTAAAGCCGAGAAATGCGCCGTATTTGATAGCTTGCAGCGAGACCTCACACCGAGCACATCTACTGCGGGTGTTGTGCCTGTTATCGGACCCGGAGTTAGCAACATCCCCCAAAAACCCGAAGAGGAGAGTCCTCGCCCCTAGCCCTGCGAGTGTAGCAGAAATGATGACGGATGATGACGGCAGCAGCCGTTCTTCTCTGCGTGAGTAGCTTAATGTTGTTCGTGTGTAATTTACGTTGAGTAGGCTAACCACGTTATTACATTAATGCATGTAAGGTGAACTAGCAAACATCATCATAGCTACATGCGGCTGTCTTCTTGTTTGATGGCAGATACTCCCTTCACCCTGGCCTAAAAGACTAAAATGACCAAAGAAAAAGTGGAAAACAGTTAAACATGAGAGGTTTTTGGACAAAGTTTGTGTTTTTTCCATTGTTTAAGCACTGCTTCCAGCCAAGAGTGATACCATATATGCCCCATAGCTGCAGAAAAGGCTAGCATTGTTATCTTTTTACAAAAAAACAGCTGAACATGAGAGGTTTTTGGACCAATTTTGTGTTCTCCATTCTTTAAGCACCGGTTTGAGCACCGTTTAAGCACCGGCATCGTTTCAAAAGTACCGGTTTGGCACCGGTATCGGATAAAACCTAAACTATACCCATCCCTAGATGTGACCGTAATATTCTGATGTCACATAATGATAGTACAGTCATTTTAATCCAACACCGCCAAGAAAACGTGGCAGGAAACTTCTCACATGTGTAGAACAAATAATGGTTTCTGGTACAGATGGAGTATACACTCCTGCTTTTATTTTATTTTATTTTATTTTTTGGTTTCACTTTAAAATCAAAATTAAAAAAAGCTTCACAAACAGGTGAAGTGATAGGAAAAGGAAGTTGTACCTCAACCTCTTCTATCCCCTTTGATTCAGGTGCCTACCTGGGATAAGCGGCTCCTATTGGTAGGATCCTGTGTGCATGTGTTTGTCGCTCTGTGTGTGTGTGTGTGTGTGTGTGTGTGTGCGAGGAGCGTTTGTCGGGGTGTGTGTCGGGTTGTACATTTACACTCTAACCTGCTGTTTGTGTGGCACAGTTGGGGGTTTGGGTATAAGATGGGTGTGTCCACCTGGGTTTGCTTTGCCATCTGCTCCCCACCAGACAGGAAGCAGCTACTGATTCAAAGGGACGTTTTATGTGTAAAGGATCAGTTTAACCACAGTCCTTTGATTTGTGCATGGATTTGTTTTAAATATAAAGACGTGCACCAGAGAAACCACATGTGTGCGCTAAAATCTAATCAGAAACTTATTCGCTTTATTTTGAAAGCATGATTTGCTTATTAAAACTGAGTAAGTACAGTTGTGGTCAGAAGTTTACGGTCATCATGGCCATGAGTGTCTTGGTAATTTAGGTTTATAATTATTTCTTTGAACTGGCTTTAACCTGGCTTTAAAAGCAGGATTGCGGTCAGGTCTTTGGGTAGGCCAGTGGTGTCCAAACCCAGGCCTCGGGGGCCGGTGTCCTGCAGGTTTTAGATGTGTCCTTAATTCATCACAGCTGATTTAAATGGCTAAATTACCTCCTCAACATGTCTTAAAGTTCTCCAGAGGCCTGGTAATGAAATACTCATTTGATTCAGGTGTGTAGACCCAGGGTGAGATCTAAAACCTGCAGGACACCGTCCCTCGAGGCCTGGCGTTGGCCGAGCCTGGGTTAGGCCGTTTCGAGAAATTTAATGTTAGCTGCCTTTATCCACTCCTAAATCAGTTGTGGATCGGGATCATTGTCCTGCTGGAACATCCAAGTTTTATCCTATTCCATCCACTTTGTGCAATGTACCAGTACCACCAGTAGCAAAACAGCCCCAGAGCATAATGCTACCACCACCATACTCGACGGCTGAAAGCTGCACATTTACTCCTCTTATTATTGTGGACAAATAGCTCAGTCTTTGTCTCGACTGGCCATCAAACTTTTCTCCAGAAGGCATTTGGTTTGTCCAAGAGGGCAACTCCAAATTTGAGTCGAGTTTGAAGGTGTCAGTTTTGGAGCAGGGGCTTCTTTCGCGGTCGGCACCCACTCGGTCCATGGCGATTTAAAACCGGCTTCACTGTGGACACTGGTGCTGGTTTGGGTCTCCAGTGTTAGTATGTGTCAATCCAATGAGTGCTGTCAAACAAGCTTTTTATTCTGCAAAGAGAAACTACCAGCAGCACTTAGTCATGATGACTAACTAGAAGTGACCCTGCCTTGTCAATTTAAAAGACTAATTGTTGGACCTATACGATCATTCCACCGTGCAAAAAAAGAAGTTCAAAGAAACCACCTGAAACTACTACGACATTTACGCCCACGACGAGTGTACGTAAACATCTCACCACAACTGTGTTCATTGCTTTTATTCTCCTGCTCAGCTGGCTCAGCAAAGCTTTGGCCTACCTCTTTGCCCTGCAGATGCACACATGTAAAAACTCAGCTACATGATGGTTATGTGCTTCCTTTGTTTGTTTGTTTTTAATTTACATGATCAGCAGGACCAGTCACTATAGTAGAGAAGTGAAGGGATGTTTGAAACAAGGACTTGGCAGTGAAAACACTTAAGAAATACTGAAGTCATTGGTTTGAGTTTAGCACAGAAACTGGACGCATCTGTTTCCTGCTCGTTTCCAGCTGCTGCTCTAAATGTGGGGTGTCTCTCGCAGGGTCACGGGATTCACAGGGATCTTCTGTCCTGTCGCTCTGATCTTTTCTGCAGCAGATACTGTCACAAGAAAAGATGAGAAATTGCAGCAGCTCCAATGCATTTTCTCTCTCTTTTCTTTTTTCCCGTCCCAGGAACCGCCGCGAGCCCCGACGTCACCCCGCTGCCTGCCACCTCCGCCCTGGAGGAGATGGCTCTGTACAGCAACAAGCGCAAACTGAGGCAGGGCCGCCGCAGCCTGGAAACCGCTGTGCCCACATAACACCTCACCCACTGAAGAAAAACCCTGCAGACGTCACGCAAACATACACAACTTCACAAACACTGTGGAGCACTGGCCTCAGAGGGGCGTGCGTCCACAGGAGGTGCAGATTCACCAAACACTACACATGCTGTCAGTAGAGCGAGATTTACTCTGCCGTATGTAACCACTGTAAAGTCTGCGACGCTGATAGTTGCCACACAGACACTTAGAGCCCGCGTGCCAGTCTTGCCTTTCCAGTCTGAGGGCCAGTTGCTCGACGGCCCCTCAGCGGCAAGAAAGCGCTAGCGTTGTTAGCTAGGGTTGCTACTTATTTTTTTATTTCTTTCCATTTAGCATTCAGTTTGCCTCGTAGAATCAGATCTATTTTAACTAGAGATCAAAGCTTTTAGGGGTTTTTTAAATTTTAATTTCTAAGCCTTCAGTGATTTTTGATGCTTTTAAACAAAACATACTGGAAGACAAACACAGAAAATAAATGGGTCATAGCTATACTAACTTCTTGAGAGACATTCATAGGCTTTCAGTGTTTTCTTCGGCCGACAGGAGTGTGTATGTGTATATATATACATACACACATATATGTATATTAAACGAGTAGGGAACATCCTGCTACCTTCATTGTCACAAAATGTGGTGAGCTTTTTTTTTTTTTTTTTTTTTTAAAGAGTACATATCATTTTTGCACTGCCACTGGTCCGCCTTTTAAAGAACTTATTCCTTCACCCTATCCCGGCCTGGAGGCCAGCTGATAATGCGACTCGCCATCTGTTAATGAGTCACAAAATCACAGCTTTCAGCCCATTATTTGCATATCACTTCATTTTATGTTCGCTTTTAACTCATCAGTTTTGTTCGCGACAGCCATATTTACAAATTCAATTGCCTAAGTTGTTTCAAATCCACTTCACAGGGCCTTTAACAATGTCACATTCCTCTGTAGAGAGTATGACTGACTACAATGGAGGAAGCAGCATGGAGCAGGCAGTTTGGGAGCATGCATTTTGGCATCATTTTAATATTAATGGTACTTATCCTGCCCTGTTAAGGGTAATAGTTGTTTGTTTTTTTAAATGTGAATCACCACTTTCCTTGCGTTATGAGGTTTGCCACAGTGATGTGAAGGTAGCAGGTGTGTGTTTTTGTTGTTTTTATTTTTTTGTTGTTTGTTTTTTTTCTGTCTATGGTTAATTTAAATCTGACGCCACTGAAAATCATTTATCGTGTGAATAATGTACAAATACTGAGAGGAAAAGCAAAATTTGGGGTGTGAAACTGAGCCAGTCTTGGACCTACACTAAACACGTGGACTGCTGATGCATCTGGGTTCAGGCAGGCTTGGCGCTGGGATGCTCTCTGCATGTATATTGGTTTGCTAATGGGAGAGGCCTGAGAGGCAGAACCGGTTAGTCCCTCTCAAGACATGGATCTCACTCAGACTCTTCAGCTTACAGCTCGACACAGTGTCAGTGACGGGTATTTCTGCAGAATCACAGCATCGTAGCATTTTGTGTTAATTTAATGTAGTGTCTTCTAATTAAAGCTTTCCGTGTTGCTCTCACTGACTGAAATTCAGTTTGATAACATTCGCAACAGCTAATATCTTTAAAAAAAATCTTTTAGTAGATAAAACTTTTTTTCCAGATGGGGTTCACTACATTTTTGATGCAGTGTTTCGAGTTTCTGTGTTTAATTCTTTTCGTCTTGAGTTCTCTTCGGGGGCTTTTACTTGCCAATAGGCTGGAGGGGAAAAGGGTCTCATGTCCTAGGGTTGAGGGTTATAGCTCATACAAGACTGTAACTAGTGAATTTGTACAACCAAAGAAGTCTATTTTGTGGTTCAGGAATAATAAATTTTACTTTCCATGTAAAAAGCTGACTGACTCTGTCGTGTGTTGTGTGCTGGGTTAACATACAAGAAGAACAAAGAACAGGCAAGAGGCTGCAAGACACTAAAATGTGTAATGATGTTAGGAAAACATATGAGACATGAGCAGAACCATAAAGTAGAGGGCACGGCTTGTGAGAGATGATGGCCAAATTTTCAGCTTTATTTATATATCACCAAACTACAACAGCAGTGATATCAAGGTGCTTTATATTGTAAGGTAAAGACCTTGCAATAATCCAGAGAAAACCTTAAAAATCAACGCTCCCCTATGACCAAACAATTGGTGATAACGTGAAGAAAAAACTCCATTTTAACAGGAAGACACCTCTGCCAGAACCTGGCTCAGGGAGGGGCCATGACCAGCTGGGGTGATGGGAGGAAGACGGGATAAAGATGGCTGTGGCAGACAGCCAGAGATTAATAATAACTAATGATAAAATCAGTGGTGTAGTTAGTGAAGAAGAAACGGTGCATGATGGGAAGTCCCCAGCACTCTAGACCTATTGCATCATAACTAAGGGATGGTTAAGGGTCACCTGATCCAGCCCTAACTATATGCTTTATCTGAAAGGAAAGTCTTGAGTCTAATCTTAAAAGTGGAGGGTGTCAGAAGAAGGGACTGAAAGCTCAGCGTCCCATTCTACTTTTAAAAACTCTACGAACTACAAGTAAACCAGCAGCCTGAGAGCGAAGTGCTCTGCTGGGGTGATACGGGACTAAAAGGCCTATAAGATGAGATTGGGCCTGATTATTTAACACCTTGTATGTGATTAGAGAGATTTTACATTTACTTTGGGATTTAACAGGGAGCTGATGAAGAGAAGCCAGATTGGGAGAAATACGGTGAGTGTGCTTATTTGCACAGAACTGGCAGATGGATGCTGCCTGCCGAACAGTCTTGTGAAAGCTTGCAAAGAGTGCAGTAATGTTAATGGGTTCATATCACTAACTATATGAACAAAATGACTAAAGGCTGCAAGTTTAGCTCGCCCAGTTGAGCAGGTGGTTCACCACATGGCTCGATGCAGAGACCAGGTGTCAAGTCTGACCACGGGCCCTTTGCTGTGTCTCTCTTCCTGCAAATGCTTTTTTTGTGTGTATTTGTCACTATTCTGTCTAAAGATGGACATGTGTGTAATTGGATAAGAATCTGGCTGTCAGATGGATGCAGATCCAGAGTTCAGGTCTCTGGAGAAGACATCAGAGTCTAGCTCCACTTTACTCAGGTTTATCATTAGGCTAGCTTACATGAACAGATCATATCAAGTTAAATATCAATTTTCATGTTATTTGAAAACATAAGTGCCTGGTTGAGCCTCCTGTGGTGGGTTAAAGGGAAGAACAAATTCCCCAGTGGTGAAATCTCTCTCAAATCAGTATTGCAAGAAAAAGAATCATTCATTGTTGCTTTATTAATGTTTCATTATACATGAAGCTGAATTTTTTTTTTTTATCTTTTAGCATTTTTAATGTAATTTGAATTTTAGTTTCCAGTCCTGAATCTTCAGTTTTTATTGTAATCCAGCTGTGACTGTAACAACGCATTTAAGTGCATTTTTCTGTGTTTGATATAAAGTTGCTATCACTTTTTTCTTCTCTTTAAACTCTACTTCCCATCCTGTTAGTCCTACTTTTGCACATGAAAAATGTTAAATACAAGTAATTCAATAATTATAATTTTCAGTTGTTCTGTGGAAGAGGTTAGCTTTTTGATTATTTGTAGGAATAATCAATCACTGGTATGAGTTTTCTTATTAAAGTGCACCCTCCTCTTACTTCAGGTGCCGAACCAAAGCAGTGAAAATGCTGTTGAGCAAGTAGGTGGACTAAAATTTCAGAAAGCAAACTAATGATTAATATACGTCGGAGTTTTGTGGGAGAAAAATATGTTAACGTACAAGAGACTGAAGATTAATCAGCTGCAGAAAAAGATACAGAAGACAACCAGCTGTCAAAACAGGAAAGCAGTTTGACTAACAAACTCAAACTTGACATAGAGAGCGTCACGAGGGAAGGCGAGGAAAGTTGAGACTTTAACCTACAAGTGAAACCATAAATTCAAATTCCTCTTACTGGGACTGCAAAGCCGACATCGTGCACACAGGTGGCTGACTTGTTTTTAAGATGAGGGGACTCACACTGCTTATGGTGGGAATTATTCTGGCTGCACTGACAGATCTGCCTTTGACAGACTTTTCATTTGCAGAGGTAAGAAAAAAAAAAGTACTAAATGCCACTGTTCTGTAAGGTAGTGCAAATACAATCATTTTTATATCATTGCAAAATCAATTATGCTCATTCAAAGTTTTTACTCAGTTTAAATGTCTATTAAGATAAATATTAATTAAGTATTGTTGCTCAATACTGCAAACAAATACACAGCGAACTAATGCATTTAATCACTCCTGCAAGCTTAATAATGAAAATATATAAATAATTAAACAAATGTGTAATCGCTGCTTGGTTTTGGGTCTAAATATTTTCTAAATAATATGTTTTTAGATCTAAATATTTTCTGTTTTTTAGATGATAAATGTGTGCTTGATCACATTATGTCAGTTAAGTGACAGAAATCGATTTTTTAAGGCTCATTCTGTTATGCATTGAAATGTTTAAGACAAAAAAAGTCCTTTACATGATCTGCCAAATGGAAGTGAACATGTTATAACTAAAGCTGCTTTAAATATATATTTTTTAGGCTGGATATTTATCTATGAGGCCAATGGAAGGTACAAACGGGACGTCCAACTCAACAGAGGTGTGTGAACTTTGAGTGTTTCATGTTTTAATCTGTTTAGGTGAGACTTAAAATCAAATTAGATTTTGACAAATATAAGCAGTGCTGCTCAAATATGAGTAGAATTCTTACTTTAATTATTCTCAGTAAAAATGTCTTTGTTATGGGATTTTTTTTCAATTATATAATCATAGTTTTCAATTGTAAAGTGTGCTAATTGCTGCTATTTCTAAGGGATGGGTTAGGTTTTGATTATTTTTCTGTTTTATTTGAAGTCCAAAGTCGACGACCTTGCAGGAATAAACAAACACATGATTACAAGCATTGGAACCTGTTTCCTCATTAAAGTTCAAATGTGCTCTTATTTTAGCCACAAGAGGAAACCACAGAAAATAAAGCTGTTGTGCAGGTAGGTTTCATAAAGCAAAGTAAGGACTGACACGTGAAAAGTGTTGAAATGCAAGAGGATGAAGATGCATTTATCATCTTACTCACATTAACCTAAAGTTTGGCTGACTTCCTTTTTAATCCCATCAGTGGAACGGCACCATTAGGCCAGTGGAAAGTGATTTTGGGTTCCCTCCTACAGAGCCCCTCGAACAAAGCCCTCAGAAGGACACCAAAGTAAGAAACTGCAGCAAAATAAAGACCTTTAAGTCATGTTAAAGTTTGAAAAACTTTATTTTATTTAGTCTTTTGAAAAACATTATTTTAATTAAAAAACAAACAAACAAAAGCTTTAATGTTTACCACAGAAATGTGAAGGCAGTTTCTCCAGCTCCAAAGTCCAAAATCCAAATGAAGCCTTTTTATTTTTGTTCCTGTTAAACAGGAGTTTTTCCCAATGTCGCCAAAGCACTTGCTCATAGGGGGTCGTGTAATTGTTGGGGTTTTCTCTGTTGTATTATTGTAGGGACTACCTTACAATATAAAATGCCCTGAGGTGACTGTTATTGTGATTTGGTGCTGTATAAATAAACTAAATTGACTTTGCTTTGAACAACAACAACTGACAATCTAAAGACGTTCACACAGAGCAGTTTATTTTGTGTTTTTCCTTGTCATTGTCCTTTACAGTAAATCTTAACTTCTTAGTGTGAGCAGTTGCTGCTTTTCTTTTTGAAATATGACAGAAAACCAAACAACTTGGTGTTTTATTGGTTTAAGACACAACCATGAAAATGTGGAACCAAAAAAATCACAGTACTGCTTTACATTACCAATACCTGCTTACACTCTGCATACACTACTACGTACTATGAATACAAGACAATGTACTGTTTTCAAACAAAGGAATATAATATTTACAGAAACTTAAACTTAAAAAAGTCATTATTGGAGGGGACGCCCATGACAGCAACCAGCCTCACCAAATTAACAACTGCCCTGTTGTTGAGAATAAAACAGACTTTGGGCAGGTAAGCAAACAAATTTGAACTTTGATGTTAAACAAGAGCTGAAGTAAAACAGCCTCCACCTACAAACACATGCATCATAAAACAGGCGTAAGCGCTCACTGGAAGCTGATTACAAAATGAGAGGACTCACACTGCTCTGTTTGGTGGGACTTATTCTCACAGCTTCAGTAAGAAAATATATCACTGTTTGATGTTCACAGATATGTTGAAAGCTTATAACAAATGACAGTCTACATAAATATTTATTTAGACATATTTATCATCACGAAACAAAGACTTAATATTTTTCACTATTAAAGAGGTCAATCTGGACTTTATTAACTAACATATAAGTGAGACATAATTCTTATCATCATGAGATTTTTGTTTTTTTTTTAAATTGAAAAAAACAACAACCCAACAATAAATATCAATTGCCCCACCTGTGTGGAATTATATCTGTGACCCCTTTTACAGATATAATCTTTGCCCCGGGCCTTGAAATACCAAGAAAATAAACAGATCTATGACTTGCTTCAGAGTTGATCATCTATTACTAAGTAAAATTAGACTAATATTCATTTTTAATATTTTGTAATATTTATATTTAAGATCATTCAATCATCCGCATCAACATTTACTTTGTGTCGGCAAATATCTACACAAATTGTGTGAATTCTGTTTTATGTTGACTCCTAAAAGCATTTTTACTAACACAACAAGCTCAAACTGCTTATTTCAATTTTATGCTACAGTGACACAGATGTGCTGTATATTAGTGTAACCTTAAAACTTGACTTAGAATTTCTTTGTCTTTACATAATTATTTATATGCATATTTCATGTATAAATGTATATTATTGTAGATTATATTTTATTTCAATGTTGATAGCAAACTGAGTTGTGCCATGGGTGCTGGAGTCCCCTTGAAGGTACACGTGATGAAACTGAATAAGCCGAGGGAAATGACACACAGGTAAAAAACCATTGACAACACTATGTTTACACATCTATAATTTGTCATAATTTCACGTAAAAGAAAATTATCAAAGTGCCTTGAAAAATTGTATTTTAAAACAAATGTCTTAAAAAAAGATAGAAACCTGTCCATAGGTGTGATTTTGTGACAGTTAAGTGAAATCATTAGATTTTTTCCCCTCTGTGTAATTTACAGACTGTTCATCAGAACATTTCAGTGGAAGCAACAGTGGACGACCGTGATTCTGCTCATGTTACTGTCTTACCTAAATGATCATTAAAAGTCTGTTGTGAGAAAAGTTTCCTTTATTTGTTAAGTGTCTCTTATTTGTTGTTATGTGCTTTTTCCAAGGTCATTTAGAAACGTAGAGCTGGAACTTTTGACAAATTATCTGCCAGACACACAAAAAAACACCTATTCTGACAAAATGAGACAACACGGGAATTAATTATCGAGGGGAGACACAAATGAAGACAAAAAGAACATTTTCTTTAAAGAGACGGTAAATTTACAAAACTAACTTCATCACATTTTACTAACACAAAGGCAGTGGCTGCTTATTTCAGGCCTGTTATAACAAATGCACGTGAGCTGACGTGTGCCATCGTTGCTATGAACTCCTAACTGTATTTAATGATCATACTTTGTCCTGCTGCTTTTTTAATAAACAAATAAAAACAGTTCCTGATAAACTAACTCGACATCCTGTTACGGGCATTTTTCTTAATAATTAACATTGAGAAAAATTACAAATAAAATAAGCTTTTTCTTTTAAATATGGCATTTTACGAAAGAGAGAACAGCGGATTCATAAGTATGTGGAAGAGTTGGAATTACATTAATAACAAATTCAGTTTTGAAGAGAATAAAGCAGACTTTTTTTTCATTTGCTAACAAACAAAGTTGAACTTTGATGTTAAACAAGAGTTGAAGTCAAAGAGGCTTCACCTACAAACACTTGGATTATAAAACAGTTTGAAGTGCAGACAGGAGGCCGATCACATCCGAGGTGAGACGACTCGCACTGCGCTGTTAGGTGGGATTTACTCTCACAGCTTCAGTTAAACAAAACAAAACATCATACTGGCAAATTAGCCAAATTTTTAAAACCTTTTCTACTGGTTTCAATAAAACTTCTATCATACAAAGTGTGAATATGTGTAATGAGTGTAGGGAAATTTTAGCTTCACAGATCAAATACTATAGCTTGAAATTTTCACTGGTCTTATCAGGATCTTTCATTTGGGACAGATACATTAAAACTAGTGAACTAGTTTACTAGTTAATTCTTAACTAGTTTTTGACTTGTTAAGTCCAGCAAGTCCTACAAACTCCCATTTTTGAGCAAACACTAATAAAAAAACTGTCATTTATTGTCTTTTTAAATTTCTTAATGGTTTCTGGTTGAATTTTACAACTGCAAAACAAAGCATACTTAGTCATAAAAAGTAAGAAAACACCAAATTCATTCAACTTTCATGTTGGATTGATCAAATTTGAGCCGTTGCACCACAAAACAAAAACATCAGTATAAAGTTTAATCCGATGGTACTCTAATATGTGAAGCTAAAATCTTCCAGCAATCATTATATATGTATTTATTTCTTCGCGGTTTCATTGTAGGACTGTTGTTTAACTACCAGATAAACGAGACTGCAGATTTAAACTTAGGCTTGATATAAATGTATTTTTCTACCATAAATCAGCTGGAGTGTTTCTCACACACTGTTGTTAAAAAACAAAAAAACCCAGCACTGAACTTGAATTTGTATATCTTTATTACATTTGAGGGTTAGCACCTGAGTACTGCATCTAAAATGAGCAAATTCAACAAAATAGAGTAACTTTGACTGTATCTGTGTAAAGTAACAGGTTCTTGAAACATTATGATCTATAACATCCATCACAGGTTTCCACTTTCCACTTTTCTCTATGTAAATGTGATTAAAATGTAACATTTGACAGGGATTAGGCAGTTTTACATAAGTCAAGTACTAATGAAACAGATGTACAGAGAGGTTATAGCAGTGAGGTCAAACTCGTTTCACACTGACGGCCACGAACAGTCCACCATGACTTGAGTGGGCCAGACGAGTGAAACTCCACTTTCTGTCCGTGTAAAGGTGTTTAACTCCACATTTAATCCCTGAGATATCGTACAATAAGATAAAGATCTGCAAGTTCAACACCACATCTCAGTGTTTCTATGATAAATGTGTAAAATTACAGTTGTGGTGCAGCTCACTGCCCAGAGTGTCTGATGTTTGTACAACATAGAGTTTCATGGATGAAAATTTTCTTTCTTTTTTTATGTCATAATGGTAGACAGTGAAAAACACTGTCTACACTTTTCTGTCATTTAACTATTTATCTATTACTTAACTTCTTTGGTGTAGAATGAACGGCTGTTATCAGCAGGAAAAGCTGTCCAACGATTTATGCACTTCCTCATATTTTCTGCAGTGTTTGCCTGGCCGATTCTGGCCCCCGGGCCTTATTTTTGACACCTTTGGGTTATAGCAGAATATATAAGGTGTCTGTCTCCCTGCTTGTTACAAAATGACACCTTCAATACAAAATAAACCGACTGGGTGCACGAGGACAGGATGAGGCAATCAGGAAGTAAGAATACATTTTTAAAAATGCATAAATATTATCAGCCTTTTCTTGTAAACGTCAGGTGTCACAGGGGATGTTTAAATCTTCACTGCTGTTGAAACGTCTAAATTAAACTAAAAATGTTGTTTTCTGAAGAATAAAGCAGACTTTGTGAGCGCAAACATATTTACATTTGCTAACAAACACAGTTGAACTTTGATGTTAAACAAGCGCTGAAGTGAAAGAGTCTCCACCTACAAACACTTGCATTATAAAACAGGAGGTCTGTGCGCAGACAGGAGGCTGATCACATCCACGATGAGAGGACTCGCACTGCTCTGTTTGGTGGGATTTATTCTCACAGCTTCGGTAAGAAAATATCATGCACCTGTTTGATGTTCATGGATTTCCTGAAAGAATTAACAGTCTCACTGAGTTTATAACAAGTGATAATCTACATAAATGTTTAGATTTCATCTTTAACATTGTAGGACTGTTGTTAGTTAGTTAGTCCAGTATGTTTTTAATTTCTGTTTATTTATTTTGACCAAGAATCAGCTGGAGTGTGTCTCATGCTGCTGACTCGCTGAGATTAATTGATTAATGCTGCTTTGTTTGCTTTGAAATGTCAATGACCTTCCAGCACTGAGGGGAAAAAGGCAAAAATAAAAACCTCCAACACTTAAATCTGTATATTGTTATTCTATTAAAGCGTTTTCCATTTTCTTTTCAGCTGCATGAAGGAGGCGCAGCACCATCATCGGATGTAAGTTAGAAAAACAAAAAAACAACCTGTTGACACGAGTGGCATTATTCACCAGTAATTATAACATTATAATATTATATATAAATGTGTGTGTGTTTATTTTTTTTTACTTTAGGATGCTGGCAGCTGGCATCCTCTTGAAAGCACTGGCAATTTTCCAACTGCTCCAACTCGTGTAGTAAGTAACGCCACAAAAATAAGCAATATTTATATGTCCGTGCGTGTCCTGCAAGGTGTAAAATGATAAAAAGTATCAAATTATTTGTTTATTTGTGCAGGTTATATTTTATTTAGATGTTGGGGAAGGGTTGGGTTTAAAGATCTGTAACTAATGTAATCCAACATATTTCAGAACGAGACCTTGCATCCAAATAATTCTACTCATGCTGGAAATGCCACAGAGGTAAAACACCATCAGCACAGCTTTTATAAAGTCGGACAACAGCATTTAATTTGAAATAGCACTGACGAGAGAACAGAGAATATGTGGCAATTTATTTAAAATCCTTTTATTTCTCTTTACACTTTATAGGTTGTTCATCACAACAATACAGCTGCAGCAACAGTGAAAGAAGACGTGTGATGCTAAAAATGTGGAAACAAGAATCTTACTGTCTTCTCTGAATAAACACTAAAATTATGGTGTGAGAAAAAGATTTTCTTATTGTATAGGATTTAAAGTGTGTTTTTAAACACATTTAAGATCTTGAAAGGTCGTGTCCAAACACACATAAAACACCAAATCCACAAAAAAAAAGTTTGAAGGAAGCACCAGCAACAAATAAGTTAATTTAAAAAAAAAAGAAAAAAGAGCGAGGGCAAAAAAGTGTGTATGATAACTTTTGAGACAAGTGCCGTTATTCACCACTAAAATAAAACAGTTAAGGTTGTGTACCTCAACTTGGGGGTGAAAATCAAACAATTATAAAATCTAAAATAATCGAAACAAAACTAAATACAATAACGTTTTTGACTATCTTGTTTCACGCTCAGTCATCCAGGTAAGTAAAGGTTGATTCTGTAGTTTTCAGTGGGAGAAACGTTTCGTCACTCATCCAAGTGACTTCTTCAGTCTCAGCTGACGGCAGGTTTCCTCAACCTTATAAACAGTAGATTTGCATAATGACTGAAACTAGCACCACTGATGAACAGGCTGTGAGGTCAGTTCCTTGATCAGAGTCTTGGGTCGATTTGTGGCTATTTTCAAATTTTGATTACCTGCCATTTGCACAGTGTTGAATGGAATATAGCGAAAGTCGGCAAAAAAAAGTTCGGTCACATTTACTGTTAAAATTTCAGTATGACTTCCGGAAATTAGCTTCAGTGGCTAAGCTAGCGATAAACTTACACTATCGGTCCTAGTGGTCGATTTGTGCCCCATTGAAACCCATTATAAACGCTATTTTTCACGGCAAAAAAATTACGGTCAAATCGATCGTGATCGGTTATGTTTCCGCTTCCGCTTGCAGTACTGGCCTTAGAGTTGTACTTTTTTTATTTGTCCACCGGGTGGCGCCCTTGCTCCACATGTGACGCCTGCTGGAACATACACATGTTCTCCAGCGGCCTGCTCGAGACAGATACCCGGAAAAGGCAGACTAATTTCCCACGTACAGCAGCAGCTTGGCCCGCTGCTCGTTCCGGACCATTTTCTGACCTTAGGATCGTTTGAGGGTGCATTAATTTTTTTTAATCAACAGGAAATGACGTATTTGTTTTCACGTGGTAGCGGAAGTGTGTGCTGCAGACACGGGAACCGAACCATATGCTCCGGCGCTGCGCGAAACACACCCGCGGCAGAGGCACTCCTCCCCGGGGGAGCAGGAGCAGCAGCGCCGCCTGGGGACATTTTTGGCTTCTGAAAAAAAAATTAAAACCAGATCGAAATTAATGTTGGTGCCAATCTTTTGTCCATCTAAAGGCCTAATTATAATAACAA